CCATGGTTATCTGTGACAAGAGAGTCAGACTTGGCTCCCTAGAACCCAGGAAGTATCACATACACATCGGAGTCTGGGATCTCTATTTTTCTCTGTCTGTCTTGTCTGTCTCTGTCTGTCTCCATCTCTCTGTCTCTCTCTTTCTTACCCTCATGATGAGGACTTGTCTATCTATCTCGCTGTACCTGACATCATGCCTCATACAGAGGACTGTAATGTGAAATTGAGAATCTATCCCATTTCACAGAGAATCCGAGTGCTACAGCGGAATGTACATGATAGTCAGGTGTCTGTTACTTAGACAGAATAGGAGAGGAAGTCAGTCCAAATGAGGAAATATTTATTCTGCCTCATGGTTTCAGAACTTTCAGTCCATGATCTCTTGGCTCCATGATAGGAAAGAATATTTACTGCAAGGTGACAGTACTGGAGAAAAGCTGCTCACCACACAGTGTGAGGAAGCCAAGAGACGAAAGGGAAAGGTTATAATATACCCCTCAGCCATGCCCACTCCTAACTCCTACTAGGGCTGCCCCCTTGGATTTCCACCACCTCTCAATAGCCTTTTATTAATCAACTACACCACAGCATTGATGGGTCTCAGATTCATGTTCCCATCACCCCAACTCTGAACACAGTTACACTGGGACCGTGCCTGTGGTTACATGGGACAGCTCAGATCCATGCTCCAACAGGACATGATGGGTAAAACGAAACTGCCATACCAAAGGATGTTCAAGGTGTAGTCCTTGAGAAAGGACACCCAGGTACTTCCTCCAACCCAGCATAACCACAGCCTGGGAGGTCAGTGCTTTTTAGTGGAGGCTCTGATTAGAAAGGATTCTCTGATGAGCATCTGTGTCCGTGAACATTTATTAGTGACATCATTGTGAGAAACATACCTGACATAGACAACACGTGAAAAGAGAGGGTTTTTAAAAACATGTTTCATGACTTTACCTGTTAGTTAGTTGTTCATTTGTTCGTAGGAGGCCTAGGTGAACACTCGTGGCAGTCAGAGAGTAACTTGCAGGAGTCCTGGGCACTGACCTCAAGTCGTCAGGCCTGGAAGCCTTTATCCATTGCACCACATCGCTGAACACGTGAGCGCTACTTTGGTTCATGGATTCAGAGGGATTTCAGCTCATCTTTTCAGGGAAGATATGGCAGCAAGAGCAGCTCCCTTCCTTACACCTTGTGCCTGGGAAGCAATGGCCATCCCTCAGAATCTGTAATAGCTTCAGTTTTCAGAGAGGGCCTCCACACACTTCTGTTTCTCCTGAAGCCAAAAACAGCTGTCATCATCCTCATGCACAAGTCCCCTGGCAGAGAGGATGTCCTGGCAGGGCTGTGCAGGCTCCAGCCGGGCAGCGTGAGCAGCTGCCTTCCTGACCCCCAGGCTTGGGTTTTGGTAGAAGTTTCAAGTTAACGAATCAGCATTGGCTGGACTTCAGGTGCAGCTGATGTCTACAGATGTGATGGGGAACCAGATAGGAATACAGTACTGTCAGGCTGCCATGGCAGTGCACATCTGTAACACCAGAACTCCCTTGTTACTTTTCAGAACTTGTAGTTTATCTGTCTAGACAACCCCCCTCCCCCGCCTTTTAAAGTCTCAGCTGAAGAATCTGCTGTTACTATGATGTGACTTGGTGCTTTTCTCTGACCTCCTTCAACAAGATCATGGGGAGTTCATAATGATCCTGAAGCCCAACTACAAAAACGTTTTGGAAAACCTGGCCTAGCAGTAAAGATACTTGATGCTCTTGCAGAGGACCAGAGTTTGGTTCTCAGCACCCACATGAGATGCCTCAAAATCACCTGTAACCCCTGTCCCAGGGGATCCAACCACTGAGAGCACCCGAAAGGGTGTGTGCATGTCCTCATCCAGAGGAACACTGAAACATACATTTAAAAGTCTTTTAAAAAGACTTAATTTAATTTTAAACTCTGAAGAAAGAACAAGAGCAAGAACAGCATCAACAACCACTGTCCCTGTGTGTACACTGACTGCATCCCGCAATGGACAGACTGAAGAGGCAAGACACTGAAATTGCTCCTAGATTAAGAGCTCTATCCAATAAAATTATGGAAGAATGAAATAAGCATCTGAGATTTCTATAAAGCCGAGGAGTAACTGAGGCTGAAAGGAGAGAAGGAGGCCAGGCAGTGGTGGCACACGACTTTAATCCCAGCACTTGGGAGGCAGAGGCAGGCGGATTTCTGAGTTCGAGGCCAGCCTGGTCTACAGAGTGAGTTCCAGGACAGCCAGGGCTACACAGAGAAACCCTGTCTCGAAAAAAAAAAAAAAAAAGAAAGAAAGAGAGAGAGAGAGAGAGAGGGAAAGAGAGAGAGAAAGAAAGAAAGAAAGAGAGAGAGAAAGAAAGAAAGAAAGAAAGAAAGAAAGAAAGAAAGAAAGAAAGAAAGAAAGAAAGAGAGAGAGAAAGAAAGAAACAGGGCCTGGGTTCATAGGAACCCAAGAGTCCTGACCCTGATCCAGCCTGGTTCAGCCCAGTTCAAGGCACTGGATGATTCAGAAAGGCTGGAGAGCAGATTCTGGCCACCTGGCTGCAGGTGGCTATAGTTGGCTTCAAAATGTCCAAATGAATTCTTCTTTTCTGCTCATGTACACCACACAGAGTGGCACATAGTACTTCACCAAAGCAAGTTCATGAGGATGGACATTCCCCAACTTTTATCATAGGCTACTTTCACACAGAAACACAGAGACATGATATTTGTGGGTGACATAACATAGGATGGCATTAATCTAGGTGAGCTTGTGCCTAACTATACCACATACTGAGTTTCTGCACATGATGAATGCTCCCTGTTTCAGCTGCATAGTGGGAACTTGCTTTCTTAGCTTGGGCTCTTCTGCATGTCTGTCTGTCTCTCTGTCTGTCTGTCTGCCTGTCTCTGTCTGTCTCTGTCTCTGTCTCTCTTCAACTCTCAGTGCTCATGACACAGCATCCTATGAGGTGGCAAGGCCACAGTCAGAAAAAGCTTATATACCCAAAGGATGCCATGGAACAGGACCACTCAGCCTCCTGGATGCTTCCCATGGAACTTCTATAAGGAAAGTGAACTGTTTTGCAGATCAGGGTCTATTTTAGCTGAATCCATCTCCATTAACACGTTAGGAGTGGGAAGCGTTAAGGCTGTGTAAGAACAGCAGGTGGCTGCAGCCAGATTCCGGGGGATCCAAGCGTTTCAGATCCTGTGCCCAGTCCCCATGCTACAAACATTCTAAAGTGTTTGGACTTCTAATGGATTCCAGCCACATCAAGTCATTGGCCTTTTGGGTTAAGTTCAAAGACCATGCCTTTCAGTACTGTTACCTGTGGCTTCAATTTCCTAATTTTGCCACAATATTCTAAAACTTGTTTCCATTCCATATTCTCTTGGTTTGCAATGCCTTCCCCTTTACATAAAGAATGATTCAGACTCCTTTTGGTTTGCACGAAGATCATAACCCAGGACCTACAAAGCCTCAGTACTGACTCTCATGGGGACGTTAGCCAACCTCTGTTCTAGGTCCATGTCTACTTCGGTGTCATTTGGTAATTTTATCCTCTCTACTCAACATTATCAGAGCGCCACTCCTGACTTCACTACATCCTTTCCAGCTTATCTTCTTTGTCTTTTAGTTAAAATTTAACAGACATTGGCTGAAATAATGTGAACTTACCAGTTTCACGAACATTTCACTTCTATGAATTTTTATCTTATGACTTTTTAGTTCCTCATTTATTTCAGCAAGCCTGCCTGTTCCTTGACTGCAGTAGGCAGCAGCAAACAGGGGGCATGAAGACAACACCCATCAGGGCTCTCATCCTGATGTGCTACCTGGTACAGGTAGGTTGCAGGCACTGCCTGACAAAGGTCAGACACTATGATGCAGCTCCTGGCATAGGAACATGCTCAGTAGGTACTTCTGCAATGTGTCCAAGTCCTTCATGGACAACTTGATGCAAAATGTCCACAGCATCTTTGACTGTACACTGTGGCACTGGAGCCCTCCACACCAGGCCTGCCCATCCCTGATCATGCTCTTCCACAGGCAGCTGCTGCTTCTTAATGAGCCTGCTTAGCTGAGAGACTGCTGGTTGTATGGAGGGGCCAAAACATCTCTGGAGATAATGCACTCATTCTAAATTTTCCAGTCATCCAGCATTTGCCAAGCCCTGCCTGCCATGAATTCTGAAGATGAACAATCTGAAGCTGGTGTTGTGGTACACATGTGTAATGCCAATAGTCAGGAGGTAAAAAAGGAGGATTATGGGATCAAGGGCTATCCCAGGCCCATAGTGAGTGAGGACCCAGCCAGTGTCAGAGTCATGAGATCCTGGATCAAAAACACCATCAACTAGGACTGGAGGCATGAATTAGAGATTAAGAGTACACTGCTCTTAGGGAAGTTCTGTTCCCACCCACAGGCCCATCTGTAATTCTAGCTCCAGGAATTTGATGCCCTCTTCTGGCATCTGAAGGCACTAGTAACTCATGTGGTGGTCATACACAAATGCTAGCAAAAGACTCACATGCATAAAGTGATAAGAGAGAGGAGATCCCCTAAATTAATTTCTGCTTGAGTTGCTTGAGTTGTGGACAGATGTACAAAGAGACATGCTGAGAACACTGAAGCAATATGGACGCTTTGTCCAGGAAGGGCATTGATGAGGAGAACAGAACCTGCTCACCCAGAGCCTGCATGCTTTGCCCCTTCCTTCAGCACAGGATCACTCTGAAGCATGACACAAGCTACACATGGACAACTGTGTTACTGCACTCCGCAGAACCAATTAGAAATGCAGGAGATCTCTTCCATGGGATTCTCAGATTGAGAAGAAGGGGACTTGAAGCAAAAACATCAAGGACTTTAAATATCCCAGAATCCCACCTCTAGCTCCTCCTGCAAACAACAAAACAGATACCACCCAACCAAGTCAACACAGTCAGCCCTGAGTGTCACAGCCAGCAAAACAAGACACTGAACAAATGTGGCTCACACTTTATTTTGAATCAAATGGGGCTTAGCTGCTCACTCTGAGGAGCAGGGCAGCACACGGGCAGATCTAATCTCTCAGGCCACGCTGGAGATTCTGCGGTCTGGTACATTTTGCCAGCCATCAGTAAGGGAAGGGCTGGATGCAGGGCAGAGACACGGGATAGGAGGAGACTGATGAAGAAATGGGGAGCCTGAGGAACCAGAGGCTTGACTGAGGGAAGGACTGGGAAGAGGAAATGGAGGAATAGGGAGTGGAAAGGAGAAAGCTGCACGTCATGGGAGCCAGAGCCGTGCTCGAGGCCCAGAGCCAGCAGGGCACTCATGAGTATTCCCCCAGATCTGGGCGTTGTCGGCCTACTTTGGGTTCCAAAAAGCCATCTTTGCAAAGATTGGCTTGGAGAGGAAGCGGCTGCTCTTCATGTAGTCAGATATCTTCTTCAGGCCCTTCAGGGAGGAGAAGAAAGCAAGAATTGAGGATCTGGGGCTCCAGTGGGAGCATAGGTTTCATTCTAAGAACCCCAACTCAGCCCAGGTTGCTCAGGTGCCCAACTCTGGTAAGAGAATGCTTTAATTTCCTGTGTTGACGGGAAAACTGGCACTGCGTTCAGCTGTGTGTCCATCTGCAGTTGTGGTGCAGGTGTGGAGAAAGAGGGAGCACTCCACAGAATCCTGCAGAACAGTGCTGTGCTCCACATTCACCAGGAGGAAGGCTGACACACAGGCTCAGCAGAAACAGCAAGAGTCTGCATTCCTGTCTAAATGGGGAGGGGCTCTGCAGTTTCCATTCTGGCTCCCTCGGTTCACTCCCCTAGCAAGAAATGCCTTGTTGCTACCTGTTTACACAAACTCTCACCTTTTTTACCAGCAGGCTCCTTCTTGCCTGTGTTTCCACATCAGGGAGGAACCAGGCAGGTCAAAGGGACCAGTAACATGCCAGGGTACTTTGGAAGAGAGTAAAGCTCTCACCCAGTATGTCAGTAAATCCTGACTGCATTAGGATAGCGATAGATGAGTCAGCAAGGAGACAATGAAGCGGCCTTTGTCATTCTCCTGATGTAGAAAAAAATCTAAACTTGGAACACTGGTAGCTGAATGCATACTTAGTGTGTCTGTCCTGTTTTTCTCAGCCTCGCTAGAGAACATTCTACAGAATGGCACTGTGCTGTGTGCTATCTTTCCACTACAGTGCTCAGATAAGCTGTGATGAATTCAAAGTTCCAGGGCAGCCTGTACCCAAGAGGCGAGGCTTGGCTGGCCTTGGACTGCAGCCTCCCACACTCTCCCACCACACTGATGGGGAATTTCATGCAAGAGATGAAAGAACTGAACACAGTTCCATGCTCAACAAAAGCTAATCATTTTCACTTCCATTCCAAGGAGTAGAAAGGCATTCTGGAAAGGGGGAAGGGAAGTAAGTAATCCAAGAGGAAGCAGGATCAGGACATCACCTCAAAACGAACTATGAAATCCTTCAGGTTTGGGAAGGCGTCCAAGCACTTGGGTTCAAATATACGGTGCTGATCAAGAATGTCATAAACGAGAAAATCCGCATAGGTGATCTGCAGGAAGCCAAGAGTGAGTCCTCTGGAATTTGACACCTGAGAAGAATGGTAATCCCTCCTTCCCACCCTCTCCCTTTACCTTGTTCCCTGCAAACCAGGGCTGCTTCCCCAGAAACTCAGAATAGAGCTTCATCTTCTCAGGGAGACTCTCTAAGTACTCGGGCTTCTTTTTCTCCTGAAGCAGAAAACAACTGTCACCACCTTGGCAGAGGCTTGCCTCACAGGGCTGTGCAGGCCCCAGAAAACAGAGGAGAAGTCTTCATGAGATTTAGTCTGGGTTGATGTCCAAGCATTTAGTTAGAGCACCACCATGATTAGACTGCTCTTAGGAAACAGCCCAACAGGATATAGCTCTGTCCCCTGGTCTCTACCACCATTGTCAAGACCACTGTGCATGAGACAGCTGTGAGCACCTGGCTCTGAACTCTGACCTCACATGAGGCAGAAGCAAACAACTGAAATTGTCCAGGAAACAGGCAGTGTTCTACCTACTGGTGCGGTGAGGACTTCAGTACAGGTTCCAAAGAGATGAGGTGAATTTGAGAGGACAAAAGGAAACAAGGGGAGGATCAAAGGCCTTTGGTTGACTGAGTTGTCTATTAGGAACATCTGCTTATCTCTGTGGATGTTAAGGACACAGCTCTGGGAAGCCATTTGGGAGGAAAATGTTCCCTACCCCCAATGTCTTCTTCTCATAATGTGAGTGTGAATGCTACAGACATGGCAAGCCTCCAGGGCAACAGAAAGACATGGCTCAGGACAGAACCAGCCATTAGAACTGGAGGGATCGAGCTCTGTCTGTCCTATTAGAGACTGAAATACCGCTGTAGAAAGTCTGGACTGGATCTTAGGATGATGACTGGAAGTTTTCATTTGGCAAACTGAGCTTTGAGTTACTCTGTCAGCAATTTCAAACACTGTACCATGAGGAGCACTGAGAGGCTCTGGTGGCAAACTGGACTAGAGCAGATGCAAGGGCAAGAGTACAGGGCCAGCTCCAACTCAGAGTTGGTGGAACTCACAAAGTCAGGGCTGTAGCAGACCATGGCCAACTGCATGCGGGTGTCCATAACCTGGTTCTCCAAAATGTCCACACGAATGTTCTCCTCCTCTGTCTCTCCACCTGCAGCACACACAGCACAGACTCACCCTCAGCATCCTGTTCCAGCCAAACCAAGAGGAATGGCTTCTGTCCCCCTCCCTGCAGTCAGCCCCACTCACATAGGTTGTGCTTGCGGCCAAGGTAGCGCAGGATGGCATTGCTCTGGGTGACCTTGTGTGAGCCATCAATTAAGTAGGGCAGCTGGATGGACAAGCAGGGACAGTCAGATGGGTTATGGGGTCTCAGCATCCCTTCCCTTCCCTGGGTGAGGACAGACATGGGGCCTGGCACTCAGTGTGCCTACCATGGGAATCCCTCCATGAGCACCGTGTGCACTGAATGGGAGAGCTGGGACACAGCCCATCACAGAAACACAGTGCAGCCAGTAGGGATGGAGCAGGTGAGCAGAAACATTGATCTTAAGCTCCTTCAGCCAGGCCAGGAGATGAGGTGAGGACACCAGGCCTTCCCCAAACCCCACCTTCCCCACACCTACATTGGGAAAGTCCAGGCCCAGCTTGAACTTCTCACTCAGCCACTGGTTTCTGTCATAGTCGGGAGCTGTGGTGGACAAAAGGATGTGAAAAGGAATCACCTAGTGTCCCAACTTCCTTCTCTAAATATCCCTCCAAGGAGCCAGACGTTCATACATCCCAGGGCGGAAAATGCTTCTTAGGGCCCTGGACTGTATATCACTGAGATTTTTCAAAAGGTCTGAGTAAGCCAATCACTATAAAAGGGTACCCAGCCCTCCAAATTTAAGAAAGTCTCTAGAGGGGACAGTTTCTAAATCCAACTCCAGGAGCTCTGTAGAGCTGAGCAACGGGGGTCAGAGAAGTGTTGCTGGGCATCAGTGAGCAGGGGAGCAGGGATCTGAGAAGCAGGGTGTAATCACCGTCCCCCATGGAGTATTTCTTGTCCTCATAGCTTGTGTCTGTGTACTCCAGGAGCAGGCGGATGGAGTGAGCCAGCTGGAAAGATGACATGTGACAAGTCACAGATTGGAAAACCCCCACAGTCTGATTTTGCCGACTCTTGGTGAGCCTATGCCTTACACTTAACAAGTCTCCCCACTAGCTCACACACAGGCCACACATAAACACAAGCTCCCCTGTGTTTGCATGTCCCCTGATAGACAAAGCTTTCCGACAACTTCTCTACTCAATCTATCTCCTGGAAATAAGCCTCTAGCTACTCCCCACCCCACACCTGTCCCACCCAGCAGAAGCACTCTCACTCACCCCACGGATGTCCCAGTAACCCAGTATCATAGGCATAGTGGTGGTGTCCAGAGCAGGCCAACCTGGGCTTTGCTAGTCTGAGCTTCCTGATAAGGTCTTAGGCATGGAAGAGGCGGGGCCTGGTTATGGCTTTCTATTGGACCATTGGCCTTTAGTGTCTCAAATTTCAAACATTCCGGTTGAAGGAAGGAGCCAAGGATCCAGGGGCAGGGCAAAATATATCTAGCCTCAGGAACCAGTCTAAGCAGTCTGAAATATAAGACAAGAATGGGCTAGTACCTGTGTCAGCAGCTTCCTGTTCTTGCTCTGGTGTGCTGTTTCAATGGAGAACAGATGTGCAGCTAGAGACATTCTTGACTCTGTTCATTATCTTCCTGGCATTGTTCTTTCTTCATTATCAACTCCCTGTTTTGGCTCTGGGTGACTCCTGGTGGCTGAGCCAGGTCAAAACAAGATACCTCAAATGTCCCTGTGGTCTATAGCCTTTCAAAGACAGCAGATGGCATGCAGGATTCTGCTAAACTGGGCAAGTCAGGGCCACATACAGGTACAACCAGTGGATGCATTAAAGATATTCAGGATCACTAGGCACTGGGAAGATGTAAAGCAAACCACAGAGAGTGAGATACACCTTCCCCAGAAAGAACTCCCATTCTCACATAGAACAAAGGTATCGGGAGCTGGCAAGAGTGTGGGCAGGAGAGACCATTGAACACTGCTGGTAAGAGTGTAAACTGTCACAACTCTGTTAGGGAAAACAACCTGGTGTTCCCTGAAAAGTCAAAACTAGAGGTACCATGCGATCCAGCAATGCTGGATATATATCCACAGGAAGTGAAATTAGAATGACAGGAGAACACACTTTACCATAGCCAAGAAATGGATGCCATCTAAGAACCATTCTCTGACAAATGTATAATAAAAATGTGGTCCACGTGCACCTTGGAATACTAGTCACTCTATAAAAAGGGGAAAAAGAAAAAAATAAAGCTAGATATCCACACACAGAGAAACTAGAAGTGAGGGGCTAGAGAGATGGCTCAGAGGTTAAGGGCACTGACTGCTCTTCCAGAGGTCCTGAGTTCAATTCCCAGCAACCATATGGTGGCTCACAACCATCTGTAATGGGATCCAGCGCCCTATTCTGGTGTGTCTGAAGACAGCTACAATGTATTCATAAAATAATAATAATAATAATAGAAGTGAGATTCCTGTCTCTTAACCCCGGGGGGACAGGGAAGGATACAAATAAACCAGTGGCCTTAATGTAAGACTTGAAATTTAGAAGTCACTCGAAGGACACACATGGAAAGAGTTCCAAGATGATAGCTAGATTTTTTTCCTTTCAGAATAACTGTTTAATAGTTCAGAAAATAATTACAAGATTTGACTAGCAAGTGTGCATCAAATCAAAAGGCTCCTACACAATAAAGAGGCTCCCCCCGCTGAACTGGAGGAAATCTTTACCCACTATTCCTTTGACAGAGGACTACTATACAAATATGTAAAGAACCCAAAATCTTAGTGAAATGTAATGACACTGTAATCTGAACAATGCGGGCTGGAGTCAGGACAGTCATTAGGACTTTGAGGTCAGCCTGGGCTACATAGCAAGATCTTTCTCAAAGACAGAGGAGGGGAAGGAGAAGATGGGGAGGAGGTGTTGGTAGTTCAGTGGACATGCTGAGTATTCAAAGCTAAGGTACACAAGAGAGAAGAAAGAGAGAGCGGTTGCTCAACAGGTCCGATGTTGCACTTAGGAGGAGGTTCTGATGGGCCGATGCACAGCAGGTAACTACACAGCATGACAGCAAAGTATTTCTAACCAAACAACTGGAAGAAAGGACTTCCTTCCCATGTTTCCATCACAGAATAGTGATAAGAGTTTAAGGAATAGATGTTTAACTTAATTTCAACGGAATATTCATGTGTATCCAAAAATAATTCATATGGTACCACCCAATAATGTGTGATTTTTTAAATGTTTTTCTGTATGTCAAAAACGAATTTATAAATCATTTTTTAAAGGGTGGCTGGAAAGATGACTCAATGTTAAGAAGACTTGCTACTCTTACAGAGGACCAAAGTTCATATCCTATCACTCAACCTGTAATTTCAGCTCTAAGGGACCAGAAGCCCATTCTGACCTTTGTATATACCTTCATTTATATGCACATACTCATGGAGGCACACACAGAAACAGATCGTCCACGCATGCACACACACACACACACACACACACACACATTAAAAAGTAAAAATGATTATTTAAGAAAAGTTAATAATTTAAAAGTTCACAAGACCCTTAGAAAGTATAAATGAGGGGAAATTCCTATAAAAGTTGAAAGGATACACGTTCTGAGACGTTAAAAGCAGTTCTGAAATGGAAATTTATAGCTCTGAGAATCTATACTAAAAAATCAACACAGGCTTGGAAAAACAGAACAAATCCAATCCTAAACCCAGTAAATGGGGATAAATAATAAAAACCAGAGCAGAAAACAACAAAACAGAAACAAAGAAAGCGATACAAAGAGTCGCCCAATCTAAGAGCTGCTGGGTCTTTGAATACATAGATGAGACTGATAGACTCTTAGTCCAGTAAACAAAAAGGAAGGGGAACCCCAAATTGACAGAGATAAACAGGAGACATTGCAACAGACAACAAAGAATTTCAGAACATTATATTTTACAAACCTATACTTCATTAAGTTAGAAAACCTAAAAGAAATGAACAAATCTCTAGATTGATCCAAAGCATCAAAGTTAAACCAAGAAGAGATCAACACCTTAAACAGGGCTGTAACAAGTAAGTCTCAAAGACATACAAGACAAGTCTCACTCAGCACCTGTGACTCCTCTCAGCACTTTTCACCCGGCCCCTAACCTAAACCTCTCCAGCCCAGGGACCGGGCTCCCCTCCCCACTTCTGATTCCCACAGGACTCAGCCGCTTTGGGCACGAATTCTCTTGGTTTGCCCACTGCTCTCTTGGCTCCTGGTTTCTCTCTTGGCCTTGAGAGGGCCACTAAAAAAAAAAAAAAAAAAAAAAAAAAATTAAAAACCTTGGGAATAAAACTTTTCAACTCCCTGGGCAGCATGACGGACTCCTCAGAGGGAGCCACTGACAATAGGTCTTCAGTCAATGATGACCCTGAACAAGAGAGGATGGCTCCAGAGCTGAGACAATCTCCTGGACACCCAGCCAGAGGAGATAACAAGGCCAGAACAGGGCTGGTCACTGCAACTCTTCAAGGTCTCACCAAATATAGTGAAACTAATGTAATAGCCAATCAAAGCTGTGCTAATGTCATTGGCTGGCCTCTACCAATCATAATAGAGGTTACCTAACCCTTCTGGAAATTTCCCCTACCCCGCATAAAAAAGGGGCCTTCAAGCCCCTAGAGTTGTCACCATTTTGATAAATGGTTAACCCTGCACTCTGGTAATTTCTGCAGAGTAAATGTTCCTTGCCTTTGCATACTATTCGAGTCTGGGGTCTTCCTTCAGAGATTATTGGACCCTAACAGCCTCTTGGCCTGTGGCTCCTCTCTTGGGATCCTTGTCTTCTCTCCTCTTTTCCCTCCCTCTCTTGTTCTTCCTCCCCACTTCTCTCATGGCCCAGTTCAGTCTGGAACCTTCCAGATGCCTCTGGTTATTCTCTCCCTTTGCATCTACAATAAAATCCTTCTCATCAACCATACCTAAGAGTGATTATGTTCTCATTTTCTCTTTCTTTCTTCCTTTTTTCCTTCCTTCCTTCCTTTCTTTTTCTTTCTTTTTTAAACTAGAAACTGGCATTTATTATATGTGGAGGAAGGAAAGGTCACTCACCCCAGTGACCCATACATAATACAGGCACATGGCGTCCTAAGCTCAGGCAATGTGTGACTGTCGAGTCCACCCTCGACCAGCAAGGAAGATGCAACGCACGAGCTCTTCTCCAAGCAGTTTATTCAGGACCCTTGAACAATCTGCTGACTTCTGACCCCGGGGGAAGTGTCTCCCAGGCTTAAGTACTCTAGGACTAGCCTACCCCCATCTGCCACGTGGCAACAGCAGATAGGTACACACACACACACACACACACACACACACACACACACACACGGAGACAAGCCAGATCACCAGCCACAGCCAAATAAGGACTTTACTCCTAAGAGTCCTCGCCAGCAGGTGGCAAGGACTTATTTACTCCTAAGAGCACTCGCCAACAGGAGGAGGAAGGCGGAGACCGGTGACATCTTAAGGGCGCATCACTATGCGGCTCTCCATATGTGACTATCCTTGTGGCCACACTTCTGACATGGGTGGTCTTTGGTTCACAGCATCATAGGTTCCTGGGACACATCTGCGACGATCTGGATCAGCTTGTCTACTTTGTGGTGATTCTGTTGATGTAGATGCAGCTGTTGTCTGCTTCCTGCTGGGAGCTGCAATTCTGGCATGCATGCCACAGAATGTGGTTCCTTGACCTCCTTGGGCTACAGCATGTTATGACTGTGGAGAATGGAAGGTCAGAGGTCAGGAGCCAGTCCTCACTGCCTTTCCATGCCAGCTACCTGGGCCTCACCATTCATTCCTGGCAGAATCAAATACCCACAAGGCCAAGCTCACAGGTCTAGTCTGATACCATAACAATGGGGCTGTCCATATTCTCATTTTCATTCAATAAAGAGAAAAACAGTGATAAACAGCCTTCTAATGTAAATTAATAATAACAATAATTTTTAAAGGCCCAAGGCCTCCTGATGAACTCAAAGAAGAATTCTTCCAGACCTCCAAAGAAGAATTATAACCAATACCCCTTAAATAATCCAAATAAAATAGAATAAAAGGAGCAGTTTTAAACTCCTACAATGTCAGTATAACTTTAGTACCAAGTCAGCACACAAAGAAAGCTAAAGCTACAGGCCATTATCCCTGATAAACACAGATGTGAAGTATTTATTTATTTATTTATTTATTTATTTTGCATTTTCTTTTTTTACTATTACTACTTTTTTTTACTTTCTTTTTAAAAAATCAAATCGTAATTTTTACTTATTCACACAGAGGTTATAAACACAAAAAGGCAGGACGTGGGGAAGGGGATGACACCGGAACGTGGGTGTTCGGAGGAGTTCAGATATCTTTCAGAACAGGGTATTGGCTGAGTGAAGGTTCAGGGGACGGGTCATTATGACTCTGTCTATGATTCACTTGTCCTTTTCTAAGGTGGTATTATCCACCAAGGCTATTTACAAGGTCTATGACTACTCAGGCTGGTAAATTTCCACAAAAGCTGCCTGTTTACAGTAGTGTATAAGATGTGAAATTTCAACATCTCACAGGGCCTGCATGGGGGTGCACTGTGCCCTCCGCATACATGTTATAGCTTTCAGTTTAGTATTTTTACGGGACTCCTGAGTATAAGAACGAGTGGTCTCTGATTCTTGTGCTCTTTTCTTTCCGTTGGGTTGCCTTGTCCAGCCTCAATGTTATGGTTTTTGCTTCATCTTAGATTTTAGTTTGTCACTTTTGGTTGTTACATCTTGGAAGCCTGTTCTTTTCAAATGAGAGCTAGAAAGAGGATGGCTCCAGAGGGGAGGGGAAGGGGGAAAGAACTAGGAGGGGCAGAGGGAGAGGAAAGAGAGGAAACTGTAATCAGGATATATTTTATGAGAAAAGTATCTGTTTACAATAAAATTTTTTAAATGACAAAAGAAAAGACTACTAACTGGGTTTGCTTGTCCAAGATTAAACCTTATTTTCCCAAAATCACCCAAAGGAAAAGCAAGAGAGAAACAGTAAACCAACTGAAGACTTACACTTGCTCTTCAAAAGGAGCCCCCAAAGGTGAACTAGTTAGGTAAATCTGGGAACTGTAACAGAGTTCTTACTATTATCAGCAGCGTTCTCATGAAAAATGTTTGGCAATGCTGTGTCCATTCTCACCTGTGCCTGTCAGGTAAAGCCTGTGTTGACAACAGCCTGGCTTCTGAATGACAAACCAGATGTGTCTCTTAAAAACTTCAACAAATCATTCCTGGGATATCATACTCTACACAGCCAATATGTCTGCAAGACTTTCCAGTCGTTCTTATCGATGGGCTCTGAGGCCCTTTTCTTACTGATTTAATTTTGTGTGTGTCTCGAGTCCTTGTTCATTTACAACTGATGTCTTCCAGAGTCCAGGCCCTAAAACTTCAAACAGAACTTCACCACCATAACCACATCCTTCCACCAAAGGCCACCGGATCATCTGAAGTAAGGCCATGCAGCACCTTTTGCTTGTAAGAAACCCAGAAGGGGGTCAATCCCAACCCTTTTACCAATGTTCCTACTTGGATTTAACGTATCCAAGAACAGCCATCACCTGATACTCTCCCAAACTGAGTCCCCAAATCCTAATGAGAAAAATGTTGATAAAATCAAATGTGTAAATTAAATATGTTAAAATGTTAACATTAAAAGGAAATAAATCATCTTACAGCTGGGTCTAAGATAGACAAAATTAACCAGATTTTTAAAAAATACTCAAAAACCAAAACCAACCAAACAAAAACCCCACATATGACAGAATCCTTACAATTAACCTTTTTTTTATTACATTTCAATACATAAAAATATCCTATAACAAATGGCAATTTTACAGGCTGAATTTAATGCACATTGTGTTGATAACGTGTTGCACGTTGCTTGAGCTCTCTGGGTACCTGGATCTAGATAAGGGCTGCATACTGCCTCCCCTCCCCACACCCATTTCAAACCCAAGCAACCTTGTCTCAAAGTTTTCTCCCAGGCCCTTTGTCTGGGGATAATATGGCCCCTTCCCAGCTCTGTGACAGTGGGTCTCAGAGATCCTGAGAGTAAAAATCGTCCATCTTGAGAACAATGAAAAAGTGAACAGATGTTCCTGTTGTCAAACCCATGTTATAAACGTGCCTACAGTGGCTGGGTAGAGGTGCACGCTTTTAACCCAAGCACTCAAAAGGCAGAAGCAAGAGGATCTTGTGAGTTCGAGGCCGGCCTGGTCTACAAAGCAAGTTCCCGGACAGCCAGGGCTACACAGAGAAACTCTTGTCTCAGAAAGAGAGAGAGAGAGAGAGAGAGAGAGAGAGAGAGAGAGAGAGAGAGAGAAACCAGAAATTCATTTGTGGAAAGCTAAGCCATGGAGTGAAACCTCAATCCAATCCTACTTAGTTCCCCAGCCATTTACTCCTGGATATATTGAGCACCTAATTTGATAATGCTTTCCTATTTGTTGTCTGTCTATCTATCTATCTATCTACTTTGCCATGTACTTAAGAAAACTCTCAAATTCAAAACCTAAAGTCCTGCTTCATAGATCATTCATTCGCTGGGAGATACAGAACTCAGGACTAGACCCACTCACACATAGTAATTCCTCCAGAGCTGCAGGATAGGGCCATGCAGGATCTACTAAGCTTTTTAAAGAAGTGCTTCATGATTTCCACAAGTCATTGCCAGTGGCCTCAATAGGACTCTGTCTCAGGAAGGCCAAAAGTGACTGCATAAGTGCCTGGTGATCGTCATGGGGCCAAGGCATCAGTGACAGAGGTAACCATAGCAGCAGTCCCAGGCAACTGCTCATACATGCTTTCAAATTTCCTCACGACCATAAGCTAGATAAAATGTGCAAGCAGACAGGTTGTTTGCTCCTTGAGACCCATAACACACTGAGATTTTTAGGACAAAGAAAGATAGCTTACCTCTAAAAGATTTCTTCCCTGCACATCTCCCTAGAGCTGTATTTTAAGGCAATTCTTCCAGCTACTCCGGGTAGAGGAAAAAGCCTTAAATTAATGCACTTCCTGTAGAATTATGCATTGAATGTCTGAACAAACTTACTCATTGATCAGTTCTTGCTATGTGTAGTGGTGAGAGTTTTCCAAGAGACAGAATCAACAGAAGATATTGTCTCTATATTATAGAAACAATTTATTTGGATATTATGTGGGTATGTATATGGTATTTGTCATGTGATTGGCCTGTAATTTGTCACCCAAGACCTGTCTACTGCAAGAGGAAAAGCCAGAGAGCCATGGATGTATTCAGTCCAGACCTGACTAGTCAGGAGACACTGGGACAGTCCCAGATCATGATAGAGAGAAAGATAGTAGATGACCAGGCCAGGGAGCAACAGACATCTGGACATTACAGAAAGAATTCACTCGTCTTCTGGTTTGTTTTTTATTTTATCTTGTGTATGTGAATGATTTTTAATTTTTTTTAATTTTCTGCATATGATATTTTCCCTGCATGTATGTCTATGCACCACATGCATGCAGTACACACAGAGGCCAGAGGAGAGAGAGGCAGGGCCCCTAAGTAGAGACAGAAAGCACTGTTAGCAATCATGTGGGTACTGGAACTAAACACTGGTCTTCTAGATGTACAGCCAGTGCTCCAAATCTCCAAGCCATCTCTTCAGCCCCCAAACTGGAGTTGACTAAAGCAGACTCATCCATAACCAGTTCTCCAAGAACTGAACAAATTTCACAGTATTAAACAGCTTCCCTGAAAGGGGGATGCATGGACATTAGAGAAGACACAAACAATAGCTAACTGAGTGATGTAATATTCAATTCAGTTTTCCCAGGTAGAAAAGAATTAACCAAGAATGGAGGGCCGTCCCCATGCCAGTAGAGATCCAAAGCAAAAGAGACTCAGTAGAGACAATAGCCTAGAGACCTAATAGTGACACAGCCATGGCGATGTGCGAGGTGGAGAGACCTTCCAGGGCCCCTCCTGGGCATTCCCACCAGCCTCATCGTCTCTTACGGAGACACAGCTCTTCACAGTTCCAAGTCCCAGTTTACTTCAGTGAATGAAATTCCCAGCATGCCACAGTGAATGAGATTCCCAGCATGCCACAGTGAAGGAGATTCCCAGCCAGCACACTTTATCCTCTCACATGCTGTCAATCAGTGGTCCTCAACCTTCCTCATTCTGTGACCCTTTAATACAGTTCCTCATGATGTGGTGATCCCCCAATCATAAGATTATTTTCATTGCTACTTCACAACTGTAATTTTGCCACTGCTATAAATCATAATATGCATGATACCTGATATGTGACACCCCTCAAAAGGATCATGACCCATAGGTTGAGAAATACTGCTTTAAAGAGCTTTATCCCTGCTGTGAGGGTCTCAGACTAGAACCAAGATATGTCAAAGCTCTTCTGGTTCCATTAGACATTTCAGAGCCCAGCCCTACAGGCTCAGAGCTCAGACTGTTTGGAAGCAGCTGTGATGCTTGGCAAGGCCAAAGAGCAAAAGAGAAAGACACAACACACACACGGCAAGTGTGTTTCAGACTTTATTGTGGATGAGACAGACCTGGGGCGGCTCCTCCACCAGGAACAGGCTGCATGAGTATTGACCTTCGGGGTAATTCTAGGGAGGGCTGGCACTAAGATAGCGTTGACCTTCAGGGTAATTCTAGGGAGCCTGAGTTCAGGACAGACCTCAAATCGCAGAAAAGGGCTGTGAGGTTGGGTCAGAGCATCAGTGAAGAAGAGGCCATGATGAAAGAAAGTGGGGTGAACGGAGGCTGTATGGGCTTGACTGGGGTGAGGGAGAGGAGTTGGGGCTGACAAAGCTGCAGAGGGGAGCGGGAAGGAGAGAGAACCAGGAGCCACAGTGCAGAAGGGCAGGGTGCTGTCCCTACCCAGGGCCTGCAGGATCCGCAGTGTGGACAGGTCCTCCCTGTGAGTTCCAGCATGGCAGGGGCCTACTTGTTACACCAGTGGGCCATCTTTGAAAATATAGGTGTTGAGATGTAGCGGTCACTCTTCATGTAGGCAGAGATCTTCTTCAGGCCCTGCAAATTGGGAAGGACACAGCAGGAGCTCAGGTCTGCAGCCCACTCAGGGGAGCAGCCCCAGGTCAGGAACAGCCTTTGTCCTGGACTCATGCTGGAGCACAGAGCAGCCTGCTTAGCTCCCAGCCCAGGCAAGAGAATGTTTCCATTCCTCATATCAAAGGGGAGACTGGATCCTGCATAAGCTGTTCTACACTCACTAAAAATTACAATACAGGTTTGGAAAAAACCTACCCATCAGTCTTGCAAGATGAGTTATCAGGAAGGAACCTGAAGTCCAGAGAGGCTGAGGAACTTCCTGCCTCACACAGCTAGTGAAACAGGGCTGGATTCATCCTGCTTGGGAGCAGCCTGCTGTGTGTTCTTGCTCTCTGGCTCCCCCCACACACACACATACTCACCCCACACTCACACATACCCACCCCCACACACACATTCCCACCCCTCACACACCCACACAATACTCCACACCCATACCCCCCACCCCATACTCCAACACTCCCACCCCCCTACAACCCCCCCACACACACCCCCACTGCTTCTCTACTCCCTCTTCAGCCCTCCCAAGGAGACCCTCACTGTCTCTCTGCATGGACATGACCCTGTTTCTGGGGACGCTCTCTCGAGCTTGTATTTACACACAGAGGAGGAATCTAACAGGACAAAGGAACCAAAACTTGACTGTGTGTTCTTAGGAAGACAGCCAAGCACCCAGTGACTCAGCAAATCATGCAAGAAAGGGAACAACAAGAGAACAGGCCAGGGAGAAAAGCTGAACAGGATTCTAATGAGTTTCCTGAGAGAGGAGTTAATTATCTACCTTCTGCTCAGTACAATCTCACTGTACTCTGTCTGTCCTCATCTCCACCCCTAATACAGGGACCACTCCATGTGACTGTAGGTTGTGCAGTAAGCCATCCACTAAGCAGGAGAATACACAGACAATTCCAGAGGGTGCTCAGAGATCCACCACAGACAACACACACAAGCTAAGCTAAGGCACTGAGCTGTTTCTCCATCCACCCACCCCACAGTGGTGCCAACTCTTGCAGTTTCCCAGGATACCCAACCTGAACCAGAACCAGAGCTGAACAAGCTGAGAAAGGCCGGGGGTTTCAGCAGGTGAGTGCTTGTCTGGTAAACACAAGACCCTCAGTTTAGCCCTCAGCTCTGGGGAGAGAGGGATAGAGCAAGGAGGAAGGGAGGAAGAAGAGACAGAGACAGAATTAGCAGAGAAAGTGTATCCCTTGATGGAGAATGGGAACGGTCAACAGACTGCAGTTTGAAAACCCTTGGATCAATGCATCTAATTCCTAGATGTCTGAACGACCAAAGTCTGATGGAGGTGAGGTCCAGGCTGGGCTCAACAGCCCTGGGGAATATCACAAGCATCTTACAGTCTGGCTTTCCACAGCTCTCTGCTGACTCTGTCCCAAGATGGCAGCATTTTGCATACCCTCTGGGGCCCAACATGAACCTCATATAGAGGAGAATACCAGAGAATAATAGTAAAGAAAAAAAAATTTGACCCCCATTTCACAGACAGCCCTGTGACATGAAAGAGGAGAAGAATGTAAGGGAAGAAACAATGCCCTGGCACATTCTCAGGCTAAATGTCCCCCAACAGGGAAGGCACTCACAAGTCTACTCAGTGAGGTACCACCTTCAGCCCTGGGCTTTCAGTGCTCTACAGATCAGGTCTGGAGCCCTGGGCTCTTGGTACTCTGCAGATCAGGTCTGAACTTTCTTCCATCTGGGTATGTCACATTAGTCCTGCCTGCCTCACTCTCCTAATGCTCTGCCTGGCCAGGGATCCTAAACAGAAAAATGAGGTTGTGCAAGGGTCTGAAGCCTTTTCTTTTGACTCAAAGCAGGGACAGTCATTGAATGCTGTCCTGGAACCTGGTAGAGCTGCAAGTGCAGAGACCTTGAATACCTGAGTACCCACCATAGTATCAGGCTCCTTATCTGACCAATGGGACTCGGAATCACATGAATCTTTCGGAATTTTGAAGGGATAAATATTGCACAATACAGTTCTTTACAGAAAGCTCAGAAAATCCTGGTTATTTTCCTAGTCTTGGGACTAGAAAGCATCATGGACCTGAGAAAGAAGACAACCCAAGAGGAAGCATGATCAGAGCATTACCTCGACGCGGGCCAGGAAGTCCTTCAGGTTTGGGAAGGCGTCCAGGCACTTGGGCTCAAACATACGATACTGGTCAAGAATGTCATAAGCAAGGAAATCCACATAGGTGACCTGCAGGAAGCCCAGGGTGAGTGCACTGGAATTTGACACCTGGGAAGAATGGCAACTCCTCCTCCCCACCCTTCTCCTTTACCTTGTCCCCTGCAAACCATGGCCGTTTGCCCAGGAACTCAGAGTAGAGCTTCATTTTCTCAGGGATAGCCTTCAAAAACTCTGGCTTCTGCTTCTCCTGAGGCAGAGAACAGCTGTCACCACCTTTAGTCATAGGCTCCCTGGCAGAGAGGGCTTTGCAAAGGAAGAGCCACCTTCCCAAGAATGGGCCAGGTCCATGTCCAGGATTCCATTGAACACATCACTATTTTACTGGTGACAGAACTCATGTCAGAGGTGACGGACAGCCTGCAGAAATTCCACACTGTCCCTGAACTCTGTCACCACTGAAGTCCAAACCAGATGCTGTGAGTCACACCTAGTACCTCCTGACTATCTTGCATGTTTTGGCCCCAGAGATCCAACGGAACCACAGAAACAAAGGGCACAAAAGACACCGGGAGAAGACAGTTACACTGGATGGATGGGGAAGCATGAGAACAGATCAGATAATTGAAGGGTGTGCTTCGGTTTTGATCAGTGACTAATACTGAAAGGAAAAGGCATCAAAGTTCCTCTGTCTGAACCTGAGCTGCCTACTAGGAAGATGTCCTGGTTTTCTACTGTTACCTAAGACAATTCTTTCCCTACGGGGAAAGAACTGGATAGATGTGTGAGGCCAGTGTAGACATAACTTATTTTCATCATCAAGGAGTATACTGGTACTTGTTGGTGCGGGGGAGTGGGGAAGGGGTGCAATGTTGATGCCAAGTATCTTTCTCAATCACTGCCCACCTTATTTTTGAGATAGGGTCTCTCACTAAATCTAGAGCTCAAAGGCTGACTGGCCTTATTGCTCAGCAAAACCCAAGAAACCCTTCTGTTATAAGAGCAGGCTGCAACACTAGGGTGTTTTTATAGGATGCTAAGGATTCATACTGAAGCTTTAATGCTATGTAGCAGGCTCTTTCAACCAATAAAGCAACTCCACATCCTCTAATTTCATCCTGGAAGCTTTTGGTATAAAGACTGGGTAAGGCGGCCCATTGGAAGAGGTCAATCTAGCAGAGATCTACAACTGTACTGAGTAACTGAGTCCACCGGCAGAATCTCAAGACTAAGACTAGCAGGGATAGGTTCACAGTGTTGATGTGATAGGTCGTCAGGGTGATAAGGGTAAGATCAGAAAGCGTGGAGAATTAGTAACAGGGCTCATGACCGAAGGAGGATACTACAGATCAGAAAGCAAGACTTTCACTCCTGCTTCTAACCCTGTCTGCCCCACCTCCGGCCACTCACAAAGTCAGGGTTGTAACAGAGCATGATGAGCTGCATGCGGGTGTCCATGACCTGGTTCTCCACAATGTCTGCACGGATCCTCTCCTCCTCTGTCTCTCCGCCTGCAGCACACACAGCACGCCTCAGCATCCCAACCCAGCCAAGCCGAGGAGCGTCTCCACCACTCTCCCCCCCTGCGGCCAGCCCCACTCACACAGGTGGTTTTTCCGAGCAATGTAGCGCAGGATGGCATTGCTCTGGGTGATCTTGTGTGAGCCATCAATTAAGTAGGGCAGCTGGATAGACAAGCAGGGACAGTCAGATGGGTTATGGGGTACCTGAAACCTTTCCCTGGGTGAGGACAGACATGGGGCCCGGCACTCAGTGTGCCTCTGTGTTCATGCTGCCCACTGAATGGGAGAGCTGGGACACAGCCCATCACAGAAACACTGTGCAGCCAGCAGAGATGGCGCAGGTGAGCAGAAACATCGATCTCAAGTTCCCTCAGCCAGGCCAGGAGATGAGGTGAGGACACCAGGCCTTCTCCAAACCTCCCCTTCCCTGCACCTACATTGGGAAAGTCCAGGCCCAGCTTGAATTTCTCGTTCAGCCACTGGCTTCTGTCATAGTCTGGAGCTGTGGTGGACAAGAGGATGTGAAAAGGAATCACGCCATGTCCCACCCTATTACAGATATTCGACCAGTAGCAAGAAGCCCTAAGTCAGGGAATCAGCAATCTGTTACAGCGAGTCACTTTCCAAGATGGAGAAGGGTCTGAATAACAACTGGTAATAAAGGGAACCTGGACCCAATAAGACCCCAATAATGAATCCTGTCTAATTATAAATACAAATGGACCAGGAACTCCATGCTCAGTGTTCTATATTGCAAAACCAAACTGCACCCTCAAAGAGGTTCCCAGAAGCAGCAGCCTCTCGCTTCAGCTAGAGACTAGCAAGGCTAAATAACAGGAAGTATAGGCATAGTTTGATAGGCAAGAGGGAAACAGGTGTCTAACCAGAAAGGTGTCATTACCATCGCCCATGGTGTATCTCTTTTCCTCATAGCTTGAGTCTGTGTATTCCAGGAGCAGACGAATCGGATGTGTCAGCTGGAAGAGAGGATACGAGACAGGGGTCAGAAATTGTGGGGACTTCATCTTTACCCGTTGAGACCTCCCACACTCTACAAACACAGCCACCCCGCACGGGCATGTGCACACCACATACATGTGCACGCCACACACATACGCGCACTCACACAACCACCCAAGTATGTAAGCTCCTTAGCGCAGAGAGCAGCAGGCAGAAGATTCTAGCGAGGCCACAGGAGTATTCACTGTTAGAAGGGCCCTTGCTGTTAAGAACTTTCTGCTTTACATCCCAGTCCCACCCTCCAAGTGGACCCCTCTCTCACTCCGCGGACGTTCCAGTATCCCAGTATCATAGGCATGGTGCTGGTGCTGTGGTCTTCTCAAACTGGCTTCAGCAGGATTGACCTGCGTGTTTCGAGTTATGATTTTATATAGACTATCAGAGAAACGTGGGCTAGACAAAACGGCGGGTCCCTCCCAAGTCTGCACCAATCCCAATTAGACACTCCCCTTCCCGGGTCTGTAACCAGAGCTGCAGACCCTAAAGCGGAAGGCAGAGGGCCACACCCTCTCCGGGAGAGGCGGGGTTAAGACTCTTAAGCAGCCTCTGCCCCGAGATTCTGTTTTGCACACCCTGAAAGCAAAATCTGCTCGCCTGCTCCCCAAACATTCTTTGCTACTGCCGCCATCGCCGCCTGCTGGATGCTCCCGAGACTAGCTAGCACTTTCCCTGGAGTCAGGCCAGGCAGCGAAAGAACATGGGTGGGTGTTCTCCCACCTTCCTTTCTTTTGCAGAGCTCGGTTTTCACACCCAGACTGTGGGAATCTGTCACTGGGGAGGCTCAACTCTCAGCTTAAAGACAAAAAGGTGAGCCCCCGACCTGAGAGTTTAATGTAGCACTTATCGTCAGAGAAAGGACTCTGCCAGTCTGACAGCTACTGGATTTTTGTGCACACAGCCTCAAGTTACAGGAACAGTCAGTGACATGAAAACAACCCCAGGGCAGAGTTAAGCAGATCTCTGTATTTTCCTTTAGGAGATTTGGGAACCCAGCCCTTCTGTTACCAGTTATTAAAAACTAATCAGTCTTTTGGCCATGTTTATTAATCTAAATTCAAGAACCAACCACAGAGGGACCATAAGTCTGAGGGAAGCCACAGCTGTGGACAGCAATCAGCTGACAGAACCCAGCAGAGCACAAGGGAGCAAAGAGCCTGCAGCTGGGGTGTGCCATAGCGAGGGAGAGTATGCGTCTCAAGCGACTTGCTTTCAACAACAGGATGCTGTACACATGGGATCCTGTAACACTTTGCACAGGACACAAGGAGTCCAAAGCTAGACCTTCAGCTGTCCACATCCCTGGATGCTGGACCTGACCCGGGCTCCTGACATGTGTTTATATATGACAGAGTGGCTCAAATCACCATTCAGGTTACCCTGGGATATATGTCCTGTACTATAACCTTCACAAGGACAATGTCCTACCAAGAACACTGTCCCACCTGCCTACTTACTCACCTGTCAGCAAGAGACTCTTTCATAACCAAGAGGCTTGTGGTTAATTGGCCTGAGGATGACATCACCTGGTTTACAGAAACTTACCAGATATAATGAAAAACAAGTGACGAGAGAGGAAACTAAAATGAGTTTACAAGTCAAAAGGCAAGGCTGTTGCTCTGCAGAAAGTACATTTTGGGATTAAGTCATCCTTTACTAGGACGATGGGATATGAAGCCAGCATATCACTTCACTCACATAGGAGGTGTGCAGTGAGGGTGCAGGGGACAAACAGGCCATCTTATCCTGGGACCTTAGAGAAGCCACGTGCTTTGCAGGTCTCGGTGAGGATGCAAGCAAAGAGACCATGTCTCTGGGGCTCACAGTGCCTGTGGCAAATGCCACCTTAGCATTTGGACATGTCCACCTGCCCACTTCAGGTTCTCTGAGTGTCTACGCTCAGAAAGTAACTGAGGCCTTAAGGACAATGTTCAGAGTTAAGCTTGCACACAGAGAGACCATGCTAATCATACATGCACGAAACTTCCTGGTTCCATGAGCTCCTATGGTTTGGATCTTTAATCATTTGCTCTTCTAAGGATCTCAGAAAAATGAAATTTCTATATGTAGCTGAAAACTGAGTTTTAAATGCGATGACCAACTAAAACAATAACTTTGACAGGCAGTAAAAGAACATTAAAACAGCTTTTAATTGTACCACAGTGTTCATCCAATATGTTTCTTCCTTTATTAAACAGTCAGTTCCTAGCAAGGAGACCCCATGGATAAGAAGGCCCTTCGTGTTGACTGTGAACTGACTGGTAAAGACCGCAAGTTTGGTGGGAACTACAGGGAGATCGTGTGCAAGTATGAATGAGGCACATCAGCATATTTTCATGCACTAAGGGAACTAGAGAAGGGGAGTGGAAGGAAGGAGAAGGAAGCCATGCTGTCCAGGACAAAGACTCAGAGGGCCTGGGAAGGGAGCCAGAGCCCTGGCGCCCTTCAGAGGACAGAATAACTCTGCAGACAGGGATAAGGGCTAGGACAGCAAGTCCTCAATGCAGGGTCCCCAGAGTCTAAGAGCATCATCCCTTTGAATGAGAGGGGTCTCTGAAAGGCATCAGGGGACAGTGGGGACTGGGGACATGGAAAAATCTGAAGCTAGGAGTCACAACAGTGCTGTCCTGGAGAATTTAATCCCAGTGTTGATCACTGATCCTCTGGATGTCTCTGTGCACTGTCACACGTTCACAGTGCAGCCAGCCCTAGTGTCTTAAAGGACAGTGTGCAGGAAAAATCTAAACGTGTTGGAGGAAAATTGGCTTTTAACCAGTAAAGTGACATCTGAGATGGATTCCATAATTCCTTCCAGGCCAACGGGTGATATTCAACATGGTCCATGCAAAAACACAAGATTCTACAAATAATGGCTTCTGAATGTTTAAAACTCTACAGGATAAGTAAGTGTCAACAAATAAACTAAGTGTTCTCTGCCTCATGGAGACTCTCTGGAAGTCTCTTACACGCTGACTGTTGATCAATGGTTCTCAAACTTCCTAACACTGTGGTCCTTTAATTCAGTTCCTCATTTCGTAGTGACTCTCACCCTCACTCCATAAAATTATTTCATTGCTACTTTATAACTGTAATTGAACTACTGTTATGAATGGTAATACAATTATCTGATTTGTGGGATATGTGCTATTTAACCCCAAAGGGGTTGCAACCCACAGGTTGAGAACCACTACTTAGATAAAGCCAGTATGGAGAAGGTACGTAATATTTTCTCATTTCTATAAGAAATAATGAAATGAATATGACCATGTACCAGACATGGCCAGCTCAAAACTGAGACAAAGAAACAAGAAAGGAAGGGATGGGGGAGGAAAAAAGAGGGAGGAAATGTTGGGATAGAGGGAAAAGAGAGGACAGATGGAGTTAAAAGAGAAAGAGACAAAGCTTTAGTTTAAACGTATTAAGGTTGTGAAGTGGCAGTAAAGCAGCCAAGTTTGTTGTAAAATAAAATCGTAGAAAACAAAAAAATTACACAAAGAAGAAAAATACTGAAACGTTCTTCAGTGTGCATAAGAATCCAGTAAACTTATACCATAAAACATTAGCAAAATTGACAGAGCAAAACTCCAACACCAACAACAAAAACGACAAAAGGAAATGACAGAAGGAAATTGCAGGGGCTGGAGAAGTGGCCCAAGTGGTAGAAAGCTTGCTGAACACGCATGAAGCCTGGCAGTCAATCCTGAGAACATCATAAACCAAGCATGGTGGTGTTCGCCTCTAATCTTGGCACGCAGAGGCTGGGGCTGGAACTGAAGGGCACTCAAGGTCATCTTCAGCTACACAGCAACTTTGAGTCCAGCCTGGGACAGAAGACTTTACTCAACATGGGAAGACTCCAAGTTAGTACAACATCAGGAGACAGAATAAAACAATTATAAATCTGAACAAATGATTTCAATATTGAGGATACATTTTTCCATAGATGCATATGAATGCTTTAACCGACTGCATCTAATGAATGCAACAAAATATGGATAAAAAAATTAAGAAATGAGTGATGTAATGACGCATACTAGTGATGTTTTTCCAGGCACTGGTTTCCAGAAACTGACTGTACAAAATTACAAACCTGCCTAAAACTTACGTTGCACCAGTTGTCAGGAACTACACGGATCAGGCGTGAATGATCACCTGGGAGGCAGCACAAGAGAGGATGATTGTACAGTACATTCTGAGCCTAAATCCCCACCTATGCATAACAGAGAAAGTGTACTGTAACTTGGTAAAAAATCATTCATCCAGAGCATAATAGAGTCACCCATGAGGAAGGGGGAGTCCGAAGGAAGGAGAAGGGAATGTGAACCAATGGAACAGCTGGAGCCCAAGGCAGGAACTAGACCCTCTACAGGGCGCTTTGAACACACCAGATATCACAGTGCAGACATGGACATACACTCAAGAATCCTTCCAAAGCTGTCTGACCATGTTCCCTGGTCAGGAGGGAACCTGAAGCACAGAAGGCTTAAGCAACTTCTTTCTTTCCACACAGCTAGTCAGTGGGACAGGGTCCCAGTCAGACTGGCTCTGTGGGTGGTGAGGTCCCTGGGCTCATGTCTCTCATTTCCTGTGAAGGACTCCATCCCTCTCTCTTCATATGCATAGACATGTTCCTGGTTCACAGGTAAGCTCTTTCTAGCCTGTGTTTGCACACAAGTCAAACCTCCAACAGGACAAAGGGGTCCAGCAGATCAGTGCAGAACAGAAGAGATCTTATCTGTGACCAAGCATGAGAAAGGCCTGGCCAGCAGGTCCAGGAAGGAAACCTCATCAGGGCTGCCATCAAGTCCCTGAGAGCAGAAAGTTCACTTGGGGAGCCGGAGGTCAGTCTCATTGAGCCGAAACTGACCTGCTCCCTAGTGGACCAGTCAGAACAACAGCTATGTCTATTCCAGTCTAGTTCAGGACAGCGAGTGGCAAATAGCTTCTAAAGAGTTCAAAGACGGGAGGGGGTTGGGGTGGGGGTGCGCTATTGAGATGTCTCAGCAGTTAAGAGCACTAACTGTTCTTCCAGAGGTTCTGACCGCATGGTGGCTCACAACCATCTGTAATGAGATCTGATGCCCTCTTATGGGGTGTCTACATAAAATAAATAAATAAATAAATAAATAAATAAATAAATAAATCCCTTTGGGCAGGAGTGAGCAGGGCTGGAGTGAGTGGGGCAGGAGTGAGAGGGCACAGACCTTGGCTCTCCCCTCCCTCTTCCATCCTTCTTCTCTCCCCACAGCCATGCCTGTTCTTGCACAATGAGAACTAGTTGCAAAATCAGTAACAAAGTAGGTTGTGTGGGAGTCGGAAAAAAAGTTAGTGGTCCATGGTTATCTGAGAGACTGCTCCCCAGCACCCAGTAGGTACCACATGCACTCAGAGTCTGAAATCTCCCTCTCCTCCCTCTCTCTGTCTCTGTCTCTCTGTCTCTCTGTCTCTCTGTCTCTCTGTCTCTCTGTGTGTGTGTGTTTGTGTGTGTGTGTGTGTGTGTGTGTGTGTATTGCTCTAACTCTCCTACCCTCAGTTTCAGGATGAGGACATCTCTACCTGTCCCACTGTACCTGACACCAGAGGATCATGGTGTGAAGATAAGAATCTGTCCCATTCCACGTGCTACAGCGGAATGTACGTGATAGTCAGATGTCTGTTACTTAGACAGAATAGGAGAGGAAGTCAGTCCAAATGAGGAAATATTTATTCTGCCTCACGGTTTCAGAACTTTCAGTCCATGATCTCTTGGCTCCATGATGGGGAAGAACACTTACTGCAAGGAGACAGTGCTGGAGAAAAGCTGCTCACCACACGGTGTGAGGAAGCCACGAGACGAAAGGGAAAGGCTATAATATACCCCTCAGCCATGCCCATTCCTAACTCCTACTTCCTCCTACTAGGGCCAACCCTTGGATTTCCACTACCTCTCAATAGCCTTTTATTAATCCACAACTACACCACAGCATTGGTGGTGGGTCATGGCCTCATGATCTAGTCACCTCTTAAAGGTCCACCTTTCAATACTGTTACACTGAGAACAATGCCTTCATTCAATACATAAACCTTTGAGGGACAGCTTAGAGTTTCTTTTCTTTTTTTAATTTTTATTTTAATTTTATGTGCATTGGTGTTTTGCCTGCATGTAGGACTGTGTGAAGGTGTCAGATCTTGGAATTACTGACAGCTGTGAAGCTGCCATGTGGGTGCTGGGAATTGAACCTCAGGCCCTCTGGAAGAGCAGAACCATCTCTCCAGGCCCCACCACTAGTCAGGGTTTCTATTGCTGTGATAAAATGTCCTGTCCAAAAGCAACTTGGGAAGGAAAGGGTTTATTTTGTCTTACAAGACTTCATCTCTGAAGGAAGTCAGGACAGAAACTCAAATGGCAGAAACCTAGAGGCAGAAACTCATGGAAGAGTACTACTTACTGACTTTCTCCCTGTGGCTCGCCGAGCCTGCTTTCCTATAGAACCCAGCACCATCATCCCACGGATAGCACCCACCCTCCAACAGTGGCCTAGACTCTCCCCAACTAATTAAGAAAATGCCCTACAGGTTTGCCTAAGAAACAATCTTAAAGAGGCATTTTCTCAATTGTGGCTTCCTCCTCTCTGATGACTAGCCTGTGCTAAATTGACATAAACCTAGCCAGAACAAGGACAATTCAAATCCACACTTTAACATGAAGAAGGAGATAGAAAGAAACTACCACACAAGATGATCAAGGTACAGTCCTTGAGAAAGGACAGTAGATACTTAGACCTAGCACCAACCACAGCCTGGAAGTCAGAGCTTCCCAGTGGGACTCTAACTGGATATGGTTCTCTGAAGATCATCTTGTGTCCATGAACATATATTAATCAATTTCCTTATCCTTGTGACAAAAACAGCTAACACAGACAACACATTTTTAAATGTGTCTCATGAGTTAATTTATCAATTAATCAATTAATCAATGCTTGTTTATTGGGAGGAGAAAGCACATGTACTATGAGAGCAACTTCCTGGAGTCAGTTCTCTCCAGTGAGTCCTGAGAATCACACTTGGGTTGTCAGCTTTGGCAGCAAGTGCCTGAACCCACTGAGCCATCTCACTGATCCCAAGAGATGATGTTTTTGGTTCACAGATTCAGAGAGTTTTCCATCAAGGCAGCAGAAACATCTCTCTTCCTTTCACCTTGTGCTTGGGATGCACTGGCCACACCCAATAATCAATAACATCTTTAATTTCCCAAGAAGGGGTTCCCAAGGAGATACTCTGGGTTCTCTTTCTCCTGAAGCCAAAAACAGCTGTCATCATCCTCATGCACAAGCTCCTTGGCAGAGAGGATGTCCTGGCAGGGCTGTGCAGGCCCCAGCTGGGCAGCATGAGCAGCCGTCTTTCTTAGCCCAGGGTTGGCTAACTTGGCCTCTGGAGTGCTAGAACTAATGACGTGCACCAGAAGCACCTCCACAGCCAGCGCTTTATTGTTGCTGCTCCATTCTAACTGCAGGGTTGAGGAGCTACAGTGAAGAGTGTATGGTCTGCAAAGCCTAAGTACTGGCCTGTCATGGGGACGTTAGCCAACCTCTGTTCTAAGTCCATGTCTTCGGTGTCGTTTGGTAATTTTATCCTCTCTACTCAACATTATCAGAGCGCCACTCCTGACTTTACTACATCCTTTCCAGCTTATCTTCTTTGTCTTTTAGTTAAAATTTAACAGACCTTGGCTGAAATAAAGTGAACTTACCAGTTTCACGAACATTTCACTTCTATGAATTTTTATCTTATGACTTTTTAGTTCCTCATTTATTTCAGCAGGCCTGCCTGTTCCTTGACTGCAGTAGGCAGCAGCAAGCAGGGGGCATGAAGACAACACCCATCAGGGCTCTCATCCTGATGTGCTTCCTGGCACATGTAGGTTGCAGGCACTGCCTGACAAAGGTCAGACACTATGATGCAGCCCCTGGCATAGGAACATGCTCAGTAGGTACTTCTGCAGTGTGTCCAAGTCCTTCATGGACAACTTGATGCAAAATGTCCACAGCATCTTTGACCGTACACTGTGGCACTGGAGCCCTGCACACCAGGCCTGCCCATACCTGATCATGCCTTTCCACAGGCAGCTGCAGCTTCTTAATGAGCCTGCTTAGCTGAGAGAGCCTCTGACTCAGACTCCAGCACCCCCAAGTAGACACATTGCTGTAATGTCTCTGGATAAGTTGTTTTTACCAGAGCTCTAAGCCCTACAGCTGGCTGTATGGTGTCTTAGTTAAGGTTTTACTGCTGTGAACAGACACCAGGACCAAAGCAACTCTTGTAAGGACAACATTTAATTGGGACTGGTTTACAGGTTCAGAGATCCGGTCCAGTATCATCAGGTGGGAGCATGACAGTGTCCAGGCAGGCATGGTGCAGGAGGAGCTGAGAGTTCTACATCTTCATTTGAAGGTTGCTTGCAGAATACTGACTTCCAGGCAGCTAGGATGAGGGTCTTATAGCCCACACCCACAGTGACACACCTACTCCAACAGGGCCACATCTTCTAATAGTGCCACTCCCTGGGCCAAGCATATACAAACCATCACATATGGACAGGCTAAAAAATTCTCTGAAGATAATTCATTCAGATTCCAAATTTCCTAGACACCAACCACATGCCAAGCCATTCACATCAAAGATGGAACAGTCCAAAGAAAGGGACCTCTTCTGTAAGAATCCCAAGTTGAGGACCAAAGGCCATGGACTAGGGACACCAAGGATCTTAAATGACTTACAGTCCGTACATCTCCATCACCCAGGCCCTGCTGTGAAGAACAAAACAGAGACCACCTAACCAAGTCAACACAGTCCTGGGAGTCACAGGCAATTAGACAAGACACAGACCAAACGTGGTTCAGACTTTACTGGGGATCAGACAGGACTTGGCTGCTCACTCCAAGGACCAGGGCAGCACATGTGTGGGTCTGGTTCTTCAGTGCATACTGGAGATTCTGGGATCAGATAATTTCCTCTAAGCAGAGGGCTGTCTGGATGCAGGACATAGACAAGGAATAGGAGGAAACTGATGAATAAATGGGGAGCCCAAGGAACCAGGGAACCAGGGAAATGGGAATCTAGGCTGAGGGAAGGGCTGGGAAGAAGAAATAGGGGAAGATAAGTGGAAAGCCCTGCTAGTGAATGACATTATGCCTTTTGCCATCTTCCCAGTTGAGCTATGCCCAGATAAGCTATGAATAAGTCAAAGTTCCAAGGCTGCCTGTACCCAAGAGGCCAGGCTTGGCTGGCCTTGGACTGTGGCCTCCCGCACTCTCCCACCACACTGTACAGCCAGAGCATACAGTACGGTACAGATTTCTCACACGGTCTCCAGGATGAGCAGCCTGGATCAAAAGCAATGGGGTGGGAACTAGCTGAGAAAGTACTTTCTCTCTCCAGATGCCTGTCACTCACATACCCCTGACCACAGCTTTTCTTTTTGTCTTAAGTCAGGGACAAAGAAGTGACTGTAGCGACTGTCATTTGCCACAGGAACCAACACCACAGAAGGATATATTCATTCTCACTATCCCTTGGGAGGATGTACTCATTCTCACTATCTGTTCAATAGCTTTTGCTAATTCTATCCACCCCATAGGTTGCTGTAATGACAAATGTCATTCAGTAGTTGTAAGACTTTATTGAACAATAGGCCCAGTCTTCTATAAATGCCAATTATTCTTCATTTTCATTCCAAGGAAGGCATTGTGGAAAGGGAGAAAGGAAGAAGACAATCCAAAAGGAGCGAAGATCCAGGAAAGACAACCTAAAATTGAACTATGAAATCCTTAAGGTCTGGGAATGCGTTCGGGCACAGTGCTGGCCAAAGACGTTACAAGTGCTGACATCCACATAGATAGGCACTCTGCAAGAAGGTGAGGGGATTGAGAACTGGTAGACCTAGAACAGCTACTCCTCAGCCTCATCTCCCTCCCTTTACCTTACCTCCTGAAAATCATGGGTGAACCCAAAGAACTCACAATAGAGCTTTATCTTCCCAGAGATACTCAGGGATGCCCTCTTAAATCCTCTAGTTTTCATTTCTCCTGAAACACAATGTCCATATCCTCAGACATGATGCATCTCAGAGTGGTGTCCAGGCATTAAGTTAGAGCACCACCATGATTAGACTGCTCTTAGGAAACAGCCCAACAGGATATAGCTCTGTCCCCTGGTCTCTACCACCATTGCCAAAAAAACCACTGTGCATGAGACAGCTGTGAGCACCTGGCTCTGAACTCTGACCTCACATGAGGCAGAAGCAAACAACTGAAATTGTCCAGGAAACAGGCAGTGTTCTACCTACTGGTGCGGTGAGGACTTCAGTACAGGTTCCAAAGAGATGAGGTGAATTTGAGAGGACAAAAGGAAACAAGGGGAGGATCAAAGGCCTTTGGTTGACTGAGTTGTCTATTAGGAACATCTGCTTATCTCTGTGGATGTTAAGGACACAGCTCTGGGAAGCCATTTGGAAGGAGAATGTTCCCTACCCCCAGTGTCTTCTTCTCATAGTGTGAGTGTGCATGCTACAGGCATGGCAAGCCTCCAGGGCAACAGAAAGACATGGCTCAGGACAGAACCAGCCATTAGAACTGGAGGGATCGAGCTCTGTCTGTCCTATTAGAGACTGAAGTACTGCTGTAGAAAGTCTGGACTGGATCTTAGGATGATGACTGGAAGTTTTCATTTGGCAAACTGAGCTTTGAGTTACTCTGTCAGCAATTTCAAACACTGTACCATGTGGAGCACTGAGTGGCTCTGGTGGCAAACTGGACTAGAGCAGATGCAAGGGCAAGAGTACAGGGCCAGCTCCAACTCAGAGTTGGTGGAACTCACAAAGTCAGGGCTGTAGCAGACCATGGCCAACTACATGCGGGTGTCCATAGTCTGGTTCTCCAAAATGTCCACACGAATGTTCTCCTCCTCTGTCTCTCCACCTGCAGCACACACAGCACAGACTCACCCTCAGCATCCTGCTCCACCAAACCAAGAGGAATGGCTTCTGTCCCCCTCACTGCAGTCAGCCCCACTCACACAGGTTGTGCTTGTGGCCAAGGTAGCGCAGGATGGCGTTGCTCTGGGTGACCTTGTGTGAGCCATCAATTAAGTAGGGCAGCTGGATGGACAAGCAGGGACAGTCAGATGGGTTATGGGGTCTCAGCATCCCTTCCCTTCCCTGGGTGAGGACAGACATGGGGCCTGACACTCAGTGTGCCTGCCATGGGAATCCCTCCATGAGCACCGTGTGCACTGAATGGGAGAGCTGGGACACAGCCCATCACAGAAACACTGCAGTCAGCAGGGATGGAGCAGGTGAGCAGAAACACTGATCCTCAACCCTTCAGCCAATTGAGAAGATGAGCTGAGAACTCCGTCTTCCCTAAATCTCCCCTCCTCTGGACCTATGTTGAGAACCCCAGATCCAGCTTGAATTTTCAACTCAGCCACTGGCTTCGGTCATAGTCAGAAGCTGTGGTGACCAAGATGATGTAGAGGTCACCCTGTGTTCACTCCCCTTTGTCGAGGACCCTCCCAAGAGATCAAGGACAAGAATTCCTGAAACAATAAACCTGCAGCCTCACACACTGTTTCCCATTCGAAGGCCCAAGGATGAAGCTCACGCCATTCCTGTGGTAGGACTATGGACCCTACCTCACTAAGGCTTATACACATTTGGGTACCCTCCAACATGGAATGTGGCCCAATTACAACAGAAAGGAACTCAGCCCTTCATTTCCATTGCCCTGTCCTGGAAGACCAACCTCAACAAGGTTTCTGGAAAGACACATTGTAGTTCCAGCAGGAGGAGGTTTACACAGCCCAAGAGCAGGGGATAGGCATGGTCTGTTGGACATTGATGGTTAGAAATTCAATGAAAGTCTGACAAATATGGTGTAATCACCATTGCATGAGATGTGTCATCTCTTTTCCTTGTGACTTGGATCTGTGGATGGAGCAGGAGGATGGCGTGAACCACTCATGACGACAACCTTGGCAGGGTGATTTCCTTGCTGCCTGACGGGTCTTCACCTTACTATTAACAACCAGCCCTTTACACATGCACACATCACACACACATTACACAAACACATTATACTCTTGTGTTTGAATTCCTGATAGGCAAAGCTTTCCAGGAACTTCTGAACTAAATCCATATTTTAAAATATATTCCTAGGTATTCCCCATGCCTGTGAAATCCCTCACTCATCCCACATATGTTCCAGGATCCCAGTGTCATGGGCTTGATATGAGTCTCCAGTAGGTGGACCGGGGCCTTTGTTTGTTCAGCCTTCTTATAGAGCACTGGGCAGAAGGGAGGCAGAACCTGGCTGCAGTCTCCAATCGGGCCACTATCCTACCTTTTTCCAACTCCAGATATTCCACTAGCAGAGAGAAGAAAAGTTCTGTCCAGTATCATTGTGGTTTGTCCCAGAAACAGGTCAGGGCACTCAGAAGTCAAAGGAAGGGTTGGGTTGGCCAGCTGCCCACACTGGGCTTCCTGGTTGGCTATGTCCACAGGGAAATGGCAGTTTAGTTGTAGACATTCTTGATGGTCAAAGTGGGACACTGTTATTATCTTCCTGGCATTGCTCCTTCTTCATTATTAACTCCCTGCCTTGGCTCTGGGTGACTCCTGGTGGCTGAGCCAGGACAAAACTGCATATCTCAAACCTGAGAGATTAGTGTCCCTGTGGTCTATAGCCTTTCAAAGACAGCAGATGGCATGCAGGATTCTGCTAAACTGGGCAAGTCAGAGCCACATACAGGTACAACCAGTGGATGCATTAAAGATATTCAGGATCACTAGGCACTGGGAAGATGTAAAGCAAACCACAGAGAGTGAGATACACCTTCCCCAGAAAGAATTCCCATTCTCACATAGAACAAAGGTATCAGAGGCTGGTGAGAGTGTGGGCAGGAGAGACCACTGGACATTGCTGATAAGAGTGTAAACTGTCACAACTGTTAGGGAAAACAACCTGGTGTTCCCTGAAAAGTCAAAACTAGAGCTACCATGTGATCCAGCATCCACAGGAAGTGAAATTAGAGTGACAGGAGAATGCACTTTACCATAGCCAAGAAATGGATGCCATCTAAGAGTTCATCGACTGATAAGCAGATAAGGAAATGTGGTACCTGTGCACTGTAGAATACTATTTAGCCATAAAGAAGGAAAATCTCCAACCCAGAATGCTAGGAGAACTGGATAGTCACATGCAAAAGACAGAAAAAAGATCCCCGACTCTCATCCTGTACGACAATAAATTCCAAACGAACCAAAGGCCTTAATGGAAGAGTTCCATGGCTCCCAAATAAAAGAGCAAGAGTGGGCAAGTGCAAGGACATCCAAAAGAAAGTTCTTCACAGTGAGGGAAACTCTCAGGAGAGGGAGAAGACTCCTGCAGAGTGGGAGGAAGTCTCAGCCAGCTGCTCATCAGACTAGGGTTAATATCCAAAATAAGAAAAGAATACAAAAGCTCAGCCAACTACGACAGCACATGCTGCAATCCCAATACCGGGAGGGAGGCAAAGCCATGAGGCAAAGCCTGGGCTATACAGCGGAACTTTGTTAAAAGAAAAAAGAAAAGATAAAAACCATAACAACAAAATAACAAACAAATGAAGAATGAGAAAATGTTCTGAAAGAATTTGCTGCAGATAAGCAGCAGATGTGTTTTTTTCAGATGTTTGACATTTTTAGTCATCAAGGGAAAGTAAATGAAAGCTACACTGAGATTCCCTCTCTGTCAGAATGCCATTTAAGAATAAAATAACAAAGGCCGTCAAGGGTGTGGAGGGAACAATAGTTCTATACTGTTAGTAACTGCATACATTAGCACTGCTCTATAAAAAAATGTTCCTCAGAAAACAAAACAGACAACAACAAAAAAAAGTCTGCCATGCCATCCTGCTTCGTCACGCATGACCATGTTTACTGCAACTAGCTAGAGTAGCCAAGTTCTGGGACCAGCCTAGGTGCACTGCAACAAATGTGTCGCTAAATAAGGTACCATGGAGTATTAACCATAAAGGATGAAGCTGGCATTGCCTAAAGGTACGTGGAATTGGGGAGCATCTCATTAAGTGAAATAAGCCAGGCACAGATGACAAATGTTGCATGCTTTCTCTCATGTAAGGAAACAGATATCCCTATGTTGGAAAGTGATTGTGGGTTTCCCATACCCTAGACATGGACACTGCAGGGAGAGGATGCTGAAAGCCATTCCCCATGTTTGGAAGGTCCGCTCCTGTCCTTACCAGATCCTGGTGCTTCTGAGCACATCTTCCTTCTCACAGCCTGTGGGTCTCTGGCTGCTGACACCAGGCTCGCTCGCTGAGTGCTGTTTTCCATAAGGGGCAGTGTCCTCAGGAGATTAGGAAGGGAAGTAGAAGCAGGCTCTGCCTGGTTTTGCAAATATCCAGTGAGCCTCAGTTTCATCCTCCTGTGGAACAGCCTTTCCTGCCTTCCCTAGCTGCCAAGAAGAAAGGCTTCCAGAAGCCAGTGTGTTGATGGCTCCCTCTTCCCTGCTCCTTGCCTTCCAGGTGTTTGTGGACATCAGAGGGCTTGGGAGTGGACAACAGGGCCACCACACGAAGTGGAACTGGAGACACTGCCTACTCAGAACATCATGAAACAACTTTTTATACAGCTTAGAAACTGGCTCAAGCAGCACTCCTCAGTCACCTCAGAGGGTTATGTCCTGTCCCTGTGTTGAGCTTTTCTATTGAATTTGTTGCTAGCTTTTCTGCTACCTTCCCTACAACTGTGCAATAAACCGTATAGATTCTTTTTTAAAAAGAAAGGACTACCAGAAAGCAGAGAGCGACAATTAGGGACTGGGAAGGGTGCTGAGGAAGGAATGGGAGGCTATGGGAGGGAGGCAGTAAGCTGTAAGGAAAGCACACATGATCAAAGTACAATATATGCATGTGTTAAAATGCCACAGTTAAATCTACTAATTCATATAATTAATAAGTATAACGAAAACTTTCCTAAAGAGTAAAATCTTGAAATCTTGCAATAAGCGTGGATACAAATAGAGATCACTAAGCTAAACGGCACATGCCAGGCACAGAGAGAAAAGTCCTCCCCAACTTCAGTTAGAGCTAAGGTAGTTCATCTCAGACTAGGTGAGACTCCAGCCAGCCAGGACACTGCATGCCTACAATCCCAGCATGAAGAGGCAGAGGGAGGAGGATCATACTGACAGGGTATCATGGTCACACACAAGATTGTGCCTCAGAGGAGAAAGAGAGAGGATGGGGAGGTCGGGAGAAGAAGAGGAAGAAGAGCAGGGAGGTGGTCCTGTGGGAATGGGGGTCACAGAAGCTGAGGAGAGAAGGTGTTCACTGGGTCCTAAGTCGCAGTTATGAGGAAGACATTCTAATGTGCTGTAGACAATGGCAATGTGTGTATCTATCTTAATAGTCAGAAGAAAGGACTTCCAGTGTTTCCTCTGCAAAGAAGTGATACATGTTTACGGTGATATATCTAGCTATGTTTGGTCTGGTTTCAACATCATAATATTTAAGTGTATCAAAACCATCACATGGTATCCTGTGCATACGTATGATTTTTATGATTTTTGTGTATGTTAAAAATAAACATATGAATCTGTGTTTAAAGGGGAGAAATGGCTTATTGTTTAAGAGCACGTGACTGGAATGTGCACCCCAGCATCCACATCTAGTAGCCAACAACTGCCTGAATGGCAGTTCCAGAGGATCTCACGCCATCTTCTGGCTTCTGTAAATACCTGCAGTCACATAGCCATACACGCAAGCACATAACCATAACTTACAAATTAAGTCATTTTTAAATGAAAAATAAGCAAGGGAATATGTTCTCCACATGATAAAGAATACACTCATATTGCTAAGTTAAAGTTTCATCAAACAAGAGCCATAATAGTTGTCTGAGTTGTATTCTTTTTTGCTTATTATTATTATTATTATTTTTACTTTTTTAAAGTGGGGATCTCCATTCAGTATACCATTGGTGTGTACAGGAAACAATTTGCAGCTCTTGACACATTTTACAAAGCTCAGAGACTTTCTGAATGGTCACCTCTGAGGAGTTCTGCGGCATGTAGATGGAGAACATCATAATATTTAAGTGTATCAAAACCATCACATGGTATCCTGTGCATACGTATGATTTTTGTGATTTTTGTGTATGTTAAAAATAAACATATGAATCTGTGTTTAAAGGGGAGAGATGGCTTATTGTTTAAGAGCACGTGACTGGAATGTGCACCCCAGCATCCACATCTAGTAGCCAACAACTGCCATGAATGAAGAATGGAGAAGCCATGAATGTCCCACAATGCACAGCAGAGCCCCACAGCAAAGAACAACTCAATCCAAATGCAGTCACAACCAGGTGAGGGGACCCTACCTCGTCTGTGAACCATGAATGACTCAGAATCCACAGTTGGAGAAACTCAGCCTTAGAAATGCTGGTGGGTAAGAGGTAGAGCAGAGCAGCTGCTGGCCTGGAAACAGACGTTGGAGGGGGAGGGGGGGAGCTAGCATCAGCAATCTTGCCCAGGGAAGCCCTGGGAGCATCTGGCTGCACATTCACAGTGAGCAGACTTTCTCTATCTCTAAAGAATAAACATTTATTTATTTATTTATTTATTTATTTATTTATTTATTTATTTATTCTTTCTTCCTTTCTTTCTTTCTTTTTAAATTTTATGTACAGTGGTGTTTTACCTCCATGTATATCTATGTGAAGATGTCAGATCTCTTGAAACTGGAGTTACAGACAGTTGTGAACTGCCATGTGGGTGCTGGAAATTGAACCCAGATCTTCTAGGAGAGCAGCCAGTGCTTATGACTGCTGAGCCATCTCTCCAGCCCCATAATAAACATTTCTTTTACAACTCCTAGAAATCCTAGGCTGGAGAGATGGCTCAGCAGTTAAGAGCACTTGCTGCTCTTGCAGAGGACCTGGGTTTAGTTCCCAGCACCCAAGATGGCACCTTGTAACCAGCCATAATTCCAGTTCCAAAAGATCTGATGCCCACTCTGGCCTCTGTGGGTTTCTGCACTCATGTGGGGCACATAGTACCCAAAACATACATATACATAGAATAAAAATAAATAAACCTTGAAAATAAAAAGAAAGAAAATAATCATATGCCACACGAGGAAGGACAAGAATTAAATATAAAAGCATATAATGGCTACCATGAGCCAAGGACAGCAACGATGGGGTCACCATAGCAGTAACTCCTTTCCAATGCCTGCCCGGCCTTGCAAGCCTCCCAGATAGTCTCTTACCAAAGAATTGGGCAAAATGAACAAACTAATTCCCCTTTGGACTCCCTCAAAATCACTGATAATGAACTGAGAGACTTACTAGAACAGAAAAAGATATCTTACCTCTAAACCTTCATCCAATCTGTTCCAAATAGAAAGGCACCACACACACACACACACACACACACACACACACCCGCATGGAAGTGCTGCAGCGTTTTATGCTTTATTTCTTTGTAGACTTATTCTTTCATTGTTGTAATTATCTTTTGTGTTTGTTTGCTATGTATAATCAAGTTTCTCCACACAAACAGAGTAAATAGATATCAATAGATTAGATATGAATAACTCATGATTTGGACGTGGGTGAAAAGGTCGCAGCGTAGGGGAGTTTCGTGATCTCTGCTGCAGTTCAAAGCATGGGAATCAGTGTGGTGTAAGTCCTTCAAGTTGAAGGGACAGATGGGTGGAGGGCTAGGATGTAAAGTTCTGTCGAGTTTTAGAGTAGAGGATTTATAATCCACCAGAGGAGAAGATGAACTGTCCGGGTAAAACAAGGGAGACAATTCACCCTTCTGGGTTAGAATTGTCCAGACTCAGTGAGTAGCTGGTGACCCCTCCTAAAGGTGAGCGCTACCTCCTCTACTCAATCAAATGCTAACTAAGCTTTTCTGGAAATGAGGACGGATGAGGTCTTGGAATGTATGTGACATTTGCATATGATTAACTCTCACTTTCTGTGATAAGTAACCTAGACCAGCACAGTTACTGCGTCCCTAAGGAAACAGAGGTGTTGACTGCTTCCGGGGCCTTTCAACTTTCTCCAGGAAATGACTCAGCAATGGATAGGAGATGAACGAGGAGTTTTAATCAGGGAGATTCCCAGATATTAATTCCTCAGGCAAAAACATGTATGAACAATAATCTGCAAAGTGGCCAGGCAAACATTGCAAAGCATTATGAAATGAGAGCCAGCTAGGTGTGGTGGCACACACCTTTAGCCCAGCAGTCAGGTGGCAGGGCTGGGGATGGGGGAAAGAGGGATGGGAGAGTTGGGGGTGGGGGGTGGGGTCTGTGAGTCTGAGACCAGCCTGGCTTACCAGGTGAGTTCCAGGAGAGCCAGGGCTTGAAAAGACAAAGAAAGAATGGAAAGGAGGGAGGGAGGGAGGGAGGGAGGGGGGGGAGAGATTGAAATTGTTGGCCATCAGGTGCCTGTGAATATGATTTACTGTTGCCACCAAAATTTAAATTATTATATCTGAAGAGCACAAGATAATCTCTTATAAAGTACTAAAGTAGTTTTACCTTGTACATTGAAGTATTTACTCAGTGATTTATTCTAATAAAGGACTAAAGCCAGGGGGAAACAGTTGAAAGCTGGTCACAGTGCTGGTTAGAAGCTTTTAAATTAATGAAATCCACACATCTAAAAACACTGAGATGACGGACAGAGTATACTGAGACTACACTCACCTGCACAAAGAGGTAGGCATCCACAAAAATCAGGCGAGAGTCTGGAGTGAGTAAAATACCTGCCTACAAACTAAACTACGCGTTTCAGTGTTTCTAGGGGACTCATGGTGTTGTTAAAAACCCCAGAATCTCCTAATGTTCATTCTAGGTGTGATTTTAAATCACTTCAGGAAAACATCATGCAGATGAAGGACTGGATCTGACAAAATTCACCAGCTCCTGTCACCCATTGGATGTGAGCCATTCTGCAGGGAATAATCTAGGATTATGCAGGAAGGATTTAGACACTGTTCTGCTCACTAATGCTGTGTGTCATGATTCTGTGGGCTTAGTGACTGGTTGTTCACTTTGGGGAAATGCCTATGCAAGTCTTACATCAGTTTTGGAGATGTATTTCTGACTATAGTTTTTGAACAGAATCTTTACTGAATTTACAAGTGAATACACAGAGACACATCTTCACACACTGTACCCCAACCAGTAAGACATAAAAAATATTGAAATGAGCTTTATTTTAAATTTTTAATTATTTTTTATTTTTCAGATTATAATATAATTATCATTTTCTCCTTCCCTTTCCTCCCTCCAGACCCTCCCACATACCTCTGTTTTCATTCATTGTTGCACATATATATTCTATGTTGCATATATATGTATGTATGTATATATATATAATATATATTATATATTATGTATTATGTATTATATATTATATATTCCAAATACACAAATACAACCTGTTTAGTCTACATGTTTCTTGCATGTGTGTTTTCAGAGCTGACCACTGGTACTGGGTAACTAACTAGAGTGCTCTTCCCTGGAGAAGACTGCTTTCCCCACTCTCAGTATTCCTTAGTTGCCTGTAGTTCTTTGTCTAGGTTTGAGGTCTCATGAGCTTTCCCACTGCTCACTTTACATCTCTGTTGGCTTGTCCTTGTTCAGTCCATGTTTAGGCAGCCATGGTGGTGAGACTTCATGAGACTTCTGAGATTCCTACAGACACAGTCTCACAGCAAACTCCTTGTTCCTCTGGCTCTTACCAGTCTTTCCACCCACTCTGGAGTGATCCCTGAGCCTTAGGTGTAGGAGCTGAGCTGTAGATGCTATCGGCTGGGACTGGGTTCCACAGCTATGCGTTTTGATGGGTTATGGTTTTCTGTAATGCTCTCCATCTATTGCAAAGAGATGTTTCTTGATGAAGAGTGAGGACTACACTTACCGGTAGCTATAAGTACAAGTAGTTGGAATGTATTTAAGGATTATGCTGGTTTAGCCAAGTGGCAGCTGTATGTTCTCCTCTAAGATCCATGGCTTCTCTAACCCTGGCAGTTGGCTAGGTTCCCTATTCCAGGCATGTTTTTCCTCTTGTTGAGCAGGCCTTGAGTCCAATTTGAGAGCTGTTGGTTATCATCAAAGTATGGTGACCATCAAAGGGTTATTGTGGCATGCTTGTCATCGTTGTGGTTCGTAGGTGTCATAGCTGAGGATCACTGGTTGTCTCTCTCCTTTGGCACCATGAAAAGTTAGTCCTCAAGAAGGATTTCAAGTCAGATCCAGCTTAGGAGCCTCTGGGCCTGTGTCTGAAGTACACTGTGTCTTCAGCAATAGGGGCTAACTCCGACTTCTCGGAGGGGCAAGCAATGCCCATAGCGATAGCCTGGAATGTTCTGGGAGTCTCTTGGACAACCCTGAACTACATATCAAAAGAGGATTTTTCATGACCGGTATGGTTTTTATTCAATGGCCTTTGACTCTTGGAGGCAGCACTGTTAATCCAAAGCAACTGTATTTTAAATCTGAGTGGGAGAGGCTCAGAGAGGATGTGAGAGGATGTAAAGAAATCTCAAGACAAAGGTGGCCATCTGAAGTATCAAAGTAGAACATGTACAAAAGAATCCTAATCACAGTGACTGGATTCTTCTCACCAGAAACGCTGCATTTCTGAAAGGGGCGAGGCCATCTGAAGCGGAAAGTTCACTCTTCAATTCTATACCTATCCAAAGTATTGCTGATATAAATGATAGAAAAAGACATCTGAAATTATGAAAGCATGAAGAAATTTATTTCACGGGAGCTCACAAAGAGAAGGGATTAACCAAAATGGTCCCCATCCCTGGTGACCAAGACAATTCTCTGAAGGCATCAGAAATAGGATCCTGGAGACACATAGCCATAGCACGTCCGGCAGAGAGGATGCTGGCTTACTGCTGGGGACTCACTCCCACCAGCAAGGAGATCTCAGCTCCCTTTGAGCTCCAGAGCCTTCTGCAGCTGCCTCCTATGAAACTATCAGGTGAGGCCAGGAAGTCCCGCACCCCTGCCTATCCAACTAAAATCCCTGTGAACTCAAGCTTCTGCCAGGGTTGCTAGGCACGCACTAGGAACAGCTGTAAAAGCTGGCAGTGCAGCAGCCAGAGCCAGTGTGGTTCAGGTTTTACAGGAGGGAGCCAACAGAGCTGTGCAGGGACCTCACACATACATCAGGCATCACTAGTCTCCAGGTAAGCATGGGGAGCCCCAGGCTGAGCTCTGATAGAAAGTCCCAACTCTTCACAACAGCACAGCAAGTGACAGGCAAGACTGTCAAGTGGGTGCGGGACACAGTCATGCTAGAAGGTCACTTTGCTAAAGGACAACTAGGAGCCTAGGCTTTAGCTGGCTTGAAGGGACAGGGACTGGGTGAAAGAAAAGAGGACCTGTGACACTCTGGAGTCGGAAGGGGTGGATAGAAGGCAGCTCCAGGGCTACAGGAAGTTCAACTTCTCCCAGAACCCCAGGTTCCCACTTCCTGCCCAGTCAAGGCCCTACTTATTGCCCCACGTGGCCACCCTTGTATATAAGGGTGTTCGGAGGAATCGGCTGGTCTTCATGTAAGCAGAGATCTTCTTCAGCCCCTGAGAGTTAGAGAAAAACAGAAAACCAAAAACTAAGGTTTACTCAGAGCCAGAGGAGTTAATCTGATTCCTCCTGCTCACACTGCTGGAATGTGGCACCTATCTGGGATTAGCCTGGCCTCTGTCTCTCAGATTTTGTACTCTCTTGGCTCACTCCCTTCCTGACCTCCCCAAGGGACCCTGTCACCCCTGTCTACACAGACATGCTCCTCTTGCACACATAAACTCCATAATGCCTGGGTGTGCATACTGAGTAGGAATCTATCTAGCAGGAGAAAAGGGCATGTTGGAAGATAACCCCTATCTCAACCAGTGATTCAGCAAAACCAGGGTGAAAGTTTATAGATACAGATAGACCACAGAAAAAAGCCAGGCTCACTCTAACCATTCCCTAAGGAGAAAGCCACAGTTCTACAGCTGATACTGGGCTTCAACCAATCCTGTCTCCAGCCTTGATACAGACATGGACCAGGGGCAATGGCAGTTACATATGCTGTTGGCCTTCTAGCAAGAGAATGAGCCCCTTGAATATCCCTAAAGAGTTCAATGAAGTCCAGAGCTGTCTGTATCCAAGGGAACCAACTTCCCATTTAACCTAAAGCTTTAGCCTTCAGCTCTCCACAGCCTCTCCCCTCCCAAAGCCACTTGAGAACCAAATGAGAACCAGCTCAGACCAGACATCACTTGATAAGGTATGGGAGAGAAAAATGAATTCAAGACTGAAAAGCCCATCAGACTAAGGTCTCCAACCCCCAAATTTCTAATAAATTAGCTGGTATAGGTAGTCAAACAAGTATTCTCTGGTGAATCTGGGTTCCCTAGCACCCAAGTGAGACCCCACACACTTCCCAGTCTGGTATGCCTGATGTTATCTGATATACTTGGTTCCAAGGTGAGTATAAAAGAAAAGGTATTTTTCTTTCTTACTGGGCATTAAATGTGCCTCATGCAGAGATCAGGAAACACAAGTATAAATAAGTTTATGATGCCATCCCACAGAACACTTGGACACTCAAAATAAAAAAGGAAAGGAGGGAGGGAGGAAAGCCCATGACACATTTCAGGATAAAATTCTCTGACAGGAGCCCGACACAAGTCTCAAGAAAGCAGTCAGCAGGCCAAGTACAAGTATTCTCTACATCCTGGGACTTCACACCATCTTTCTTTGGTTTGCCCTCCTAACCTGGGCTGCAGCCCCTACCTGCTCTGAGGAGCTGGAAGTCAACGGGGACCCTGGCAAAGCAAGTCTGAAACCCCGAGCAAGTGTAACTCTATAGTTTCAGATTTCCTTAGCTGAGCAATGGGAGTGAAAACCCCTCCACCATGAGGAACACTGATCACTACAAGCCTGATCAACAGATGTAAGATGTTCTGCACCGATTCTGGCAGAAAGCAAGTGCTCAATTCATGATTGTTATCCTCAGCCCAAGAAAACATCAAGGAAAAGTTGACAGCCAAGGGGAAGCAGGATCAGGGCATCACCTCCAAGCGGGCCACGAAGTCCTTCAGGTTTGGGAAGGCATCCAGGCATGTGGGTTCGAATATAAGGTGCAGGTCCAGGATATCGTAAGCAAGGAAATCTACAAAAGTAATCTGCAAAAGGCCAAGAATGAGAGGGCATGGAATTCTGTCCTCTAGAAGAATGACAACTCTCAACTTCTTCTCTTTTACCTTTTCACCAACAAACCATGTCTGCTTCCCTAGGAACTGTGAGAAGAGCTTCATCATTCCAGGGAGCTGCTCCAAGTATTCCACCTTCAGTTTCTCCTGAGGCAGAAAGCAGCTGTCACCATGTAAGTTCCCTGAAGGAGGTCTGGTCCTTCAATATCATGCATGGCCCTAAATAGCCAAGGGTAGGCAGCCATCTCCACTAAGATGGAGACTCAGTCACTGTCCGGATTTTGATTTAACATATGAGCATTTACTTACCAGACTCCTCGGTAGCCCACCCCACCCTTCAAATGCAATGGAAAGCCAGGGAAGAATAAGACAGTGCTCACAGTGGGGCATCACCATTCCTGATGCCTGTACCTCTGAGTGCCACGAGCACCGGGCAGGTACTGACGCCAGGCAGCATCAAAGAAGCGAGAACTAAAATACTCAGAGGAGATGAGAGGTTCACACAATGGCTTCCAGAAGAATGAAATATACTTGAGTTTTCCCCATAAATTGAGGAGAATTTGAAACAGAAAAGAAGGAGAGAAAGCCCTTCAGGCTGACCCTGTGCTACCTATGGAATAATATGCTGACTCCTGTGGGTGTGAAGAGAACTTTGAGGGGCTGGAAAAGGTTCTGTGACAGTTCCTCATCTTGGCTTCATTTTCTAATCCATGGAATATGTATGTATTTCATGAACAGCAAAGGTATGAACTATCTTCAGTAGAGGGCCTATGGCAGAGGGCACAGGTGGAAAACACTTGGAAAACATGGCCTCACTATCTAGGAACTTAATATCCACTCTGGGAAGTCTGGATTGCATCCTAAAATAGGTAGGGCCTAAATAAGAATATTCATTTGATCATTCAGTGTCATGGGGATAGCTGGTGACACCACATGAAACATCCTGGGGGGTAAGTGGCTAAGAAATTCAAAAGGTAAGATCTGCACGGGTTGGGAATCTGAGAGAGCTGAGTCCTGACCCAGACACTGCCTGGTCCAGCCCAGGGTGGGAGCTGGATGACACTCACAAAGTCTGGGCTATAACAGACTCTAGCCAGCTGATTGGAGACATCCATAGCCTGGTTCTCCAAAATGTCCACACGAATCTTCTCCTCTTCTGTCTCCCCACCTGCAGCACACACAGCACAGACTCATCTTCAACATCTCACACCAGCCAAGCCAAGGAGGTTGTCCCCCATGTGCCACCCTGCACCCAGCCCCACTCACACAGGTTGTGCTTGCGGGCAATATAGCGCAGGATGGCATTGCTCTGGGTGATCTTGTGTGAGCCATCAATTAAGTAGGGCAGCTGTTTGGACAATAAAGGATAATCAGATGGAATATGAGGTTCCAGCCTTACTTCTCTGGATTAGGACAAACATGTGGCCTGGTGTTCATCGTGGCTAGTCTGGGAAGCCCTCCATGAACACACTGCACACTGAATGGAAAAGCTAGAACACAGCCGTCTAAGAAACGCTGTGCAGCCACCAGGAATGGGAGCATGTGAGCGGAAGGAAGCATCAACTCCGAGCTCCCTCAGCCAGGGGATGAGGTTGGGAACACCTTGATTCCCCCAAACCTCCCCTTTCCCCTCACCTACATTGGGAAAGTCCAGGCCCAGTTTGAATTTCTCACTCAGCCACTGGCTTCTGTCATAGTCAGGAGCTGTGATTGATAAGATTACATAAAGAGAAATTAGCCCAGTGTCCAACACACCTGTTCCAATGACCCAACGCCCTAAGGCAGGGATCTGCGACCTCCCGCAGTGTGCCTTTATCCCTGAAGGCTTCAGGGATAGAGTGCTTGGGACTGACAGCCCTACAACTCTAAAATTTACAAAAGGTTTAAGCAAGTCTTCTTGGGGAATGTGATCTAACCTCAACTGGAAGGGGATCCACCCCTCCATTTCCAGAGTTCTGTATTCAAAGGTCAAGCCCAACTCTCTGAGGCTTACTGAAAGAGGCAGATTCTAAGTCTATCTGGGGGAGTCTTGTAGTGCGGGGTGGGGGGCGTGTAATGCAATATAGGCGCCAATTGCTAGGCACCAATACACGGGAGAAGTCTGACCCACCGACGAATGGCATTACCGTCGCCCATGGTGTATCTCTTCTCCTCATAGCTTGAGTCTGTGTATTCCAGGAGTAGCCGAATAGCGTGAGCCAGCTGGAGAGAGAGGTTAGGAATGGGGCCGGGGAATTTCTTTGTGACTTCACCTCCTCCAAGTGAGTACACACGGGCGCACACACCAGCAAGGACATGTGTGGAAGATCCTGAAGCAAGAGATTCCTCTAGCGCCCCACCCCCACCCCAGCTCGCCTTATCCTAGCTGGGCAATCCTTCCCAATCATCAGGTGGTCGCTCACCCCACGGATATCCCAGTAACCCAGTGTCATAGGCATGATGTTGATGTCTGAGACTGAGTCCACCAGCACGTAAAGCTCCGGTGTAAGCAGCTTTGACTTTATCCTAGTGCCCTCGGGTAGCTGGGCGGGGCTGGTGCCGGGCGTGATCCTGCCCCTCCAGACTCTGCCCCGCAACACAGACCCTGCTCTACAGCTTTTCCCCCGGACAGTTACAGACAGAAGCCAAATTACTGAGCTCCGCCCCCAACAGACCGGAAAGCGTAATATGCGATTCCGCCTGCAGTTCCGCCCACTCCCCCTGCCGAGTGCGCAGATGCAGAGCTCTAGCTGACTCCTTGTCTTTGCCAGATCTTTCTGCTCTCTAGATGCCCTGTTGCCCTCGGAGAGTGGGAGAGTCAGGCCACAATGGGAGCACCCACCCCAGAAGTGTTGATCTAGCACTTTATCCCTGCTGTCAAACAAGACAGACTTCTGCGGAGTTCTGCTGAGGACGGTGGTCCCCAGGTGATGTTTTCCGCCTGGCAGAGAACAGTCTCTCTCTTCAGAAGTTTCTCATCTGAATTCGAAGAGATTATTTCTATCACAGATAAACTTCTGTCTCAAAAAAAAAGTGGAAAATGAAAAATCTGAATGTTCATACGTGGTCTGGATGTCTGCTTGTATTATCTCCAAGGACTAAAACAAATATGTGTCTCTATTGTGTGACCGTCCTAGTGTACTTCGTCTGAAATGTCCGAGGGTACACAGGGCCAGCACGTGACAGCTCAAGATTAGCTTGTAGCAAATGCAATTAAGAAAGAGATGTCTGAGTTGTCTATAGCTGCTGTTCATAGCAAGCAAGGCACACTGTTTCAAACCATTGGTGGTTGTATGTGTACAAAGACGATAGTCTGCGGAGGGGGCTAGAGAAGCCGGCTCTCATTTTGTGTAACAGACACCACACGTTCACTCCATTTTGTTATCGCTTTAAAACTCCTACAAGACATCAAATGATACAGATTTTAAGCTCCATTATAATTCTCGAGTATACAGGATCCATCTTTAACTAAAATGTGCCAAAGTGGCATGTGACTGCACTTAAAATTCTTACTAATGTTAAGAATGTACTGTGGCAATGCATTATGACCAAAAATATCTCTTACATTCTAAGAGACTGGGACTTTTGCTGGACCTCACAGCAAGAGTTAATAAGACACTTTGAAGTCACTAAAGGTTGCTATCCTACTGTGTACTCTTGTCTATTTGTTAAACCTGCCTTTAAGAGAATGATGTAAGAACAAAGTTATTTGTCTTGGATTTCCTATGTAATAAACTTTTATGACCTAAGCTAACACATAGCTGTAATAGTGTTTTTTTGGTTTTTGGTTTTTTTGGTTGTTGGTGTTTTTTGGAAGGGAAGGGGGTTGGATGGTTGGGTGGGTTTTTTGTTTTGTTTTAGTTTGGTTGATTTGGTTTTGGGTTTTGTTCTTGTTGTTGTTGTTTGTTGTTGTTTTTCTGAGATAGGGATGGGTCTCTCTTCATATCATCAGCTGTCCTGGAACTCACTATATGGACCAGGCTCGCCTTGAACTCACAGAGATCCACCTGTCTCTGCCCCGTTAGTGCTGAAACTTAAGGTGACTCACCACACATGGCCCTGTAATCCTTATTTACGAACTCGACTTAGTAACTCTTCTACTGCTATGACAAAGCACCTCGACCAGGGCAACGTATAGAAGGAGCATTCTGCACGTTGGTTTATTGCGTTGCTTACGTTGCCGTTTCCCTTGCTTGTCTTCTGCCTTCCCTACCCATTATCAAGCATAGAACTACTTCTCCATATTTCTCAATATGCTTGTCTCTTTGATTTTTGTTATTTGAGATTGGGGGTCTCACTATGTAGCCTTGGCTGGCCTGGAACTCATTATGTAGACCAGGTTACCCTCAAACTCACAGAGATTCACCTTCTGCCAATTTTTGCTGTATGTATTTTGTTCCAGTCCCACTACAGAGGTGGACCTTTATGAAAAGGAATCCAGTATCCCTCCTGGGAGTTCTTCCAAATTATCTGTGCTTGCCTCATTGTGAAAGGGTTGTCTAGTTACCCTTACATAAACGTGACTTCTTGGCATGTGGTTTTACATATCTGAACACTCTAAGGACTAGCTGGAATCAAAGTCAGTGTGCAGGAGAAGGTGTCAGCCCCGTGTCACATGAGACGTGGTGGAATACACATGACTCCAGAGGAGTATCCTTTGTTATCATAAGAGTGAGTTGCTTTGTGTCTCAAAATGAACAGAGTTCTGGGCCTTGGGTTCTTGATTTTGTTTTGTCTTGTTGCAAAACAAAACAAAACCTTATTTTTGACTATTTAAAACCTCTGTGCAAGTTAGACTTATTGAGTAGATCAGTTTCTGCTAAACAGGCTTAGATAACCCTGAGGAAAGCAAACAGCTATGGCAGCCAGAGTAACTCCAAAATAAATTATAATTGGTTGGCCTTGCTGATAGGCTTGTAATGACCTCAGGTGGAGCCTAAAGTTTTGCAAGACTGGAGACAAATCCATGGTTTAATTATCCATAGATAACTACTGGAGGGGCCTCTTAAAGGGAAGTTCCCTTCTGACTTTTTACAAAAAGCAGCTGTGAAATTTTTGTTGTCAGAGTTAGGTGAGGGTCATAAGTTAGCAACCTTCTGATCCAGAGCTGCAGCAGTCACCTGGGAGAAATGCAGGGAAGTGTTATAGATTCATAAGTACCCGGCATCAGACACAGAAGGATCAAGATGGGAGAAATAATGCTTACTTGAGAGCTTCAAAATGGAAAGGAGGTAGGGACTGATGGCAGAGAAGGGCTTCAGATCCGAATGTCAGTCTTTATCAGTGTCTGGCATGGAAGCTAGCTACCTGTAGCGGGATATCTTCCCTGCTACATTTGCAGTAAGGCTCGGTGATTGGGCAGCATGAGATGTAAGCAGAGTGAGGAGTTGGGAGGAGAGGAGAGGAAGGAGACTGTCAACCATGGAGGAAGACAGATGAGTCAAAAGCTGTCCTGAGTAGCAACTTCTATCAAGAGGTTAGATATTGGGTAACAATTCTAACTGTGTGGGCATCTTGTTATTTGAGCATTTCTAAATATATAAATCCATTGGATAATCTTTAAGCATTAAGAGTCTTCATTCTACTGGGTACTGCGAGGATGACGGATATTGTCTATGGTTCAGCCGAGCTTTGTGGAGACAGCGTGGTGGACTGGCAGAACCAGACACCACGCTGGTGTCTCATGGGTCAACTTGTGGCACACATGGCCTCTGGCCGCTTCTAGCTATGGCGTACTTGGCTTCTGGCCACTTCTAGTGCGGAACATGGTGGTAAGAGCTAAGCAGAGCCGCCAATTAGATAGCTGGCTCGCGCAGGGATTTTCCAAATATCTCCCCATACATCTACCTGTGACTCAGCATCTTCTGGAGGACTCCTAGAAATCTCATTTTAAGATTCCTATGGTTGGCTGGAAAGATGACTCAGGAATTAAGAATACTTAGTGCTCTTGCAAAGGACCTGAGTTCAGTCTCATCACCTGTATCAGGTAGCTCACTACCTCCTGACCTACACCCCTTCTGAATCCCATGGGCACTTGCACACATACATACATACATACATGCATGCATGCATGCATACATACATACATACATACATGGAAAACAATTAATAAATTTTTTTGAAATTTTCCACTGAGTGGTGGAGGTACACATCTTTAATCTCAGCACTCAGAAGGCAGAGGCAGCGGATTTGTATGAGTTCGAGGCCAGCCTGGTCTACAGAATGAGTTCTAGGGCTACACAAAGAAACCCTGTCTTGAAAGAACCAAAAACAAACAAACAAAACCATTTCCAATAGAATGAGTGCTCAGTACTTTGGAGGAATGTGTACTCTTTGAGCTGATCAATACTAACCTATGGATAAATACTTTAGAGTTTCATAAAAATCCTTCTTATGTTGACTCAAGGGAAAAAACTCATCTCAGACCTTTTAAAAACAGTCTCATGTTGTAGACGATAGCTAGGTAGTTTGACAATGGTACTAGTACCTCTTGATACCGTTGGCAGGGCTGAATAAATCTCTTACACTCCTTGATTGTACGGAGCTCATTGTAATCACATGGCATCTAAGACTGGGGGTGAAGCTTTCAAACACATGGGCCAGCATCTTATTAACTCATCAGGAGGTCATTCCCAGGCCTACGGGGATTGATCTGGTAGTCATTAAAGCAACTGGTGATGTGTTTAGCTATGGGGCTAAGGGAATTTGTTCATTTAGTTTTACAATTTTACTAGCTCTTTCTATTTTTTCCCTGAGAATATGTATATGTATATGTATATGTATATTTCTGACCACAGTTGAAGCGATACAAGAAAGGAAAAGCTTCACTTTGCCCTGCAGGGAGGGAGATGGGAGGTCAGCAGAGCACATTCCCAATCTTCTGCAGGAGGCAGTCACATCCATTTAGAGGTTGGCAGGGTCTTCAAGATCTTGGCTCTCTCCCCCATCCCACATTACACTGATTAGCGGCACTCTGCTGACAGGAAGACATATTTTTCAAAACCTCTTTGGTTATATCTGTGAAGTCACAGCACCAGCGCTGGTTTATTATTGCTGCTGATTTATGTCCCATGAGACACTTTTGCTCACTACCTTTGAAGTTACCTAATATAAGCAGACATCCTGACCAGGCAATGGCCACCCCAAGCTTTCTGGTTTTCTGCTTTTGTGAGTCACTTATTTGTAATAATTAGAAGCAATCTCTTCAAATTCCTCCAGAGCCCATTTTTTCCAGGTGATTATAGTCTTTGTTACTGTTTTTGTGTCGAGCACGCTGCTTGCCTAAAGCACTTCTCTGAGGTTCTAGGTCCCATGCTCAACAAATATTTCTTTAAATTGTATTAAAGCTAAAAGTCTACTAATTGTTTTATAGGTTTGGGGTGGGGTTTTTTTGAGTAGTTGTTTGGTTTGGGGGATTGTTTGTGATTGTTGTTGTAGCTGTGAGTTTGCAGAGGCTCAGGTCCTCTGCAAGAGCAGTACGTGCTCTTAACCCCTAAGCCATCGCTCCAGCCTCTGTCATCACATTTTAATTTTTTGTTTTGGTTTTTTTTTGTTTGTTTTTTGAGACAGGGTTTCTCTGTATAGCCCTGGCTGTCCTGGAACTCACTCTGTAGACCAGGCTGGCCTCAAACTCAGAAATACACCT